GAAATTTGACAACATTTTTTATATTTTAATTGAAAGGTTTAGTAAAATTTAATAATAAATGTTAATAGAATTCACTGTGTCGCAAGATAAAAAAAAGATTACATTTACGTGTAATATCATGCACAAAAATATGAATTGTATTTAACGAACAAAAGAAAGTTATAAAATGAATAGAAATCGAATTTTATTGAATTTATCACTTGTATGAACTTTATATTACTTGATAATTAGCCTGTTATTTAAATTGGCATTGCGAGCTTTTCAAAGCTTCTAAAAAATCCTCTAATTGACATCACTGTTTCCAAGCAAAATTTAATTTAATCAATATAAAAATATCACAACACCAATTAAAAAATCAAATATTTAAATTTATCCGAACTATTTTATTTTCCCAGAATAACTGAAAGAACAAACCAGCTTCCCCAACGAGTAACAGAAAGGTAATAACGTTCGCAGATATACGATATTGCAGTGAATAGTTAGATCAAAGCAACTTTAGAAGTTAGATTACGTCTATCGATGGCACGAACATTGAAATCTCTCGGAAGTATTATTGATACACGCGCGCAGAAGAATGTATCATCTTTCACTCGGACAATTCAATGTAATTAGACACAATTTTTATGTGAAAAAATAGTTACCTTGATCATAGAGGAAGTAATGGATTTTCAACGACGAGAAACAATCCGTTTCTAAGAGTTACACCGATAATGAGTTTAACAATGATTTCTCAATCGCGTTCAATTACTAATTTGTATTATTTCACCATTGACGATTGTGACATTCAAGTAATTATAAAATAAATTTTGCGATAAGAAAATGCCCATTTGTAAAACAATTACTAAACAAATTAAACTAAATTAATTATTAATAATCTGAGGAATGTACAATGAAAACATTTGTGATTGTTTCCGACTTTAAAAAATCTATATTAAATATTAAAAACTATGTGTAGAAATATATATTTATGTGATTAAAAAATTTACTAAATAAATGCATTAATAAATTCGTTCATACTTAGATGTGTATTTCAAAAAATGTTAATAAAAATTGCTTCGTGAAACGTAAAACTACATGTGTCTGAATTTTTTGATGAAAGATACGAAGTGATAGAAAAATAGAATAAACAAGAAACTTTCAATTAGATTTATTTTATGTGGAAGTCATTATTTTCGTGTTAAGTTGAAATATATTAAAAAATCGATTTGCACGTATATTCGTTGAATTATTATTTTTCTCTTTTAGCTTACAATTGGTCATATTTGTAACATCATGCTTCTTTGCTCTATCGATTGCAATAAATTCCAGAGATAAAGTATTGCATTTACAAGTTTATTGTAGTGTACGTCCCCGTTATCGATTAGTGTTTCTTCACTAACTGATAACCTTTAATTCAATCTATTTGCGCGATTTGTCACATCTAGCGAACATGATGTAGACTCACTCGATGTAAGAGATAAAACCGATAACGATCGGTTATAATACTATTTACACGTATACAGGCCAATGTCAATATTCCTGGCAAAGAATTCAGAAGAGAATGATTTTTATTAAAAGCAAAAATTCAGACTGTATATCGCAGACGATATAAAACGATATTGATAAAAATTCTACATTTTTCTATCCTTTGACGAACAATCCATCTTTAACGGTAACTATAATAGACAGTATTCAACTATCGACATAGAAACTCGACATATTGTTCCTCAGTGATCTAAGACAGATGATAGTGAGTTTCATTACAAAGAAAAGGTTTTTGATTAAATGATAAGGAATTTTTCTAGAACACTATCACTCAAGAATCGTACCATGGATCAAAGCTCTGAAAGAAATACTACTTACTTATTTGAAAGAAACACTTGCTATGTGAAAAATGTCAGCAATTTTTTTCTACGAATTTGAATTTACAAAAAAATCGTTTGATAGCAGTATAATTATTGAATATTAATAAAAATACAATGATACGACAATTAAACGAATTGAATAAAATTTGTAAAATCCAGACATATGAATATGTAATTTCTAAACAGCACGATTGTATTTTGTATGTTTTGTAGCAAAAAAAAAATAGAATATAAAAGATAGTTTAGTCAGATTCATTTCTCAATATCGTTTCTTAGGTATAACTCGATTTTTATGCTATTTACGAAGAAATTCACCTGTTCAAACGACACTACATTACCATTTGTTGATTAAACACTATACAAATATGTAGACTGATTTAGAGCTTTCATATCTTTTTGATCGACAAAAAACACTTATGGCAAAAGTATATTGTTAGTAGCCATTCAAGATAGAAGAATCTCTCAAATTATTCAGTAGTTACCAGGATCACGATTAATATCGAGTATTGAAATTGAAATTACAGAATTGTAATAATAAATCACTGTTCTGACTCCAAATTTTTATAAATAATAACTCGGGGAATTAATGATATTAATAGAAAAATCCAAAAAATCTGGATTAAAGCTTACCGTTCGTAAATAATATTAATAACAGGTAATTAAGGTATGATGAAATATGACAATTTTTCATACAGTGTAACGATGTATAATAATTTCATAATTTTGATTTTATTTCATTTTTATGACTTATTTGAGTTCAACGCATTATAGAACATTATAATAACTTGTAATAATCTGGATAATAATAATAGTAGACTGAATAGAAGCAAAACTTTAAAAGGGAGTGAAAGTCAGTAAATTAACAATAAATTAGTAAATTAATAAGTTGTTATTTAACGAATACTATTCGCATGGAAGTTTCTATACGTTTCGATCTATCGACGAAATGCGAGAGGAGCCACTTTCTTTGCCAATTATGCAACGTGCAATCGAAAACATAATAACATGCATCGCGCAATATGCGGCGTTTAAAAAGTCGAGCAAGAAGAACATCGCGCTTTCTAGACGATTCTCTTCGATTATTCGATTCTTCGCCAACTAGTCTCTCGAAACAAGCCGGGAGGGGAAAAAGGAGAATAATCAACGAAAGCGAGAACAGAAAGAGAGATAGAAAACGTCGGCAACACGTCAGAGAACGTCCTATAAATATCTAATTTCCACCATCACGCCTTCGCCTCTCTTTTGCAATACCGTTATATGTACGTTCGCGTGTTGTCTTGCAAAATGATCAATGAAATCTCAATCGCTGGTGCTGACGTAGAAATCACGCATTCCCATAATTAGGCAGCGAAATCGTACGACGGGGACGACACGAATCTCTTTTTTCTTTATTTCCCTTGGATTTAATAACCACTAAGCTGCAATTGTATGTGCATGTAAATTCTAAAACATTTTGCATTATACTTTGAGTTGATGCTTTGTAAAAAATTAGATAGCGCATAATCTGGTTAGAAATAAATCGTGCAAATCCGATACAATTGAAAAAAGAAATGAAATTTATGTAGAGATTTTTTTAAAACATTAAATGCTAAATTTAAATTGCATTTAGAATAATAATGATTAAATATTAGGATTAATTAAAGCTAAATTGCACAGTGCTAAAACTATCAAATTAAAACTGAAATTAACACTTTAAATTATAATTTAAAATAAATTAAAATAAATTAAGAATTGCATAGTAATCTGTGCTTTCTGTCTATTGCTACATTTTTTAAATTTCTCATATGTGACATAGAAATTTACATACTTATTAAAATTATAATACTTCGAGAAATATTTTTTGGCCCGCGTAATAATTCTCAGTGATCTGGGGCCACATCGTATTTTTCAACGCCATGATCAACAGAATACGCGATACTTGTCACACTTTCTTTTCGTAATTTCGTTACAACGGACCAGAAACTGTTCCCAATCGCTTAATTAAAAGTTTCATTGACCCTTAAAATATAAATCTCGCTTTCTTTGGTTGTTGAGTTTTAAATAAAATACAGACTTCTAGGTTCATGTGTAAATGCAATTTGTGACTTTGCAATAATAATACGTATTTCGTGGTGACATAGTGTAAGACGCTTTCGGAATATTTTAAAATTAAATGTATGCTGAACGGTTACCGGAATGTAATTTCTTAAGAAAAAATCTTTTTCCACACTTTTATCATTTTCCTGCGAAATTCCAGATTATTACAACTTATGAGTTCTGCAATGCGTTAAACTCAAATAAATCATAAAAATAAAATAAAATCAAAATTATGAACATTTTACTACATAAAGAAAGTTATTACATATCGTTATACTGTATGAAAGATTGTCATATTTCGTGTTCAAAATCATACCTTAATAAAACTGTTAATAATATTATATACTATACTATAATACTATAAAAACAATGAACTCGGAGAATGAAATTCCTAGCAATACATCTGATATAAATAAATTGTAACATCCATCAAGGGAAACGAAAGAGAAGACAAAAGGGGGAATTGCTATGCATATTCATAGATATAATGATGAACCTGCCGTACAAAGATCCTAAACAAACCAAGTGTAATTTCATGTAACTCGACCAAGCCGATATATCTCGACACTGCAAACAACGATCATTTCCATAATTCATTCGGTTCATCGCCTTCCACCGACGAGCATAAATCGTCGGCCGCGTTGCCGAGCAGTGCCAAGTAAAACAGCTGTTATCGGATAGCAAGGCGGTCGGATGCGATCGGATCATTCACGAAATTACGAAACCCTCGTGGCTTCGACGTACAATAGAAAGCCAGCAGCTCGCGCCAGAGAAAACGTTTCCCCCCTTTCGAAAGAAAGAAAGAAAGAAACGGGTCACGTACTCTCTCGCCGCGAGACCACGATCTCCAACCGATTGGAATTCGCCTGGTCACCGATGGACCAACGCAACCGCTAGAGAAATCACACGCACGAAACAATGACAAAGATGGAAGTAATATTCGCGGATGGAAGGCCATGTTGCGCCGCGCGCACATTCGTCACGAAAATCACCAGCGGATCCCACACTTTCTCCACGGTTTCTTCGCGAAATGAACGAGCACGGTAAAAAAAAAAAAAAAAAAATAACCCACGTACGTACCTGCCGGATGAAAGTGAAACCACCAGCCGAAGAAGTGGAAACCGATCGGACCGTTTCGCAGGACCGACAGGATCAGGATTGGCGACGATGCTTTTGACAGTTTTGGCAGTGTCCTTCGTTCCCCTCTGATCGCATGGAAACGGAACACACGATTCAACGTCCAGAGGACATGTCGGCTGTTGGGTCCATCACCGATCACCGGCCACCGGGCCACGGAATTTTCGTGTGCATACGCACCGATCGAGAGAACGGTTGAACGAGAAATAACGTTCAGAAGGCGGTCGACGACCAAGGATCTTCGTAATCGGCCAGGTGAAAGCCGTTTAGGTGAGCGGCGAGCGAGCGACTGGCTTAGCCGCGATCTACCAGAGGTACCAGAAGCGATTCAGGATCCCCCCTTGCTCGCCGCTCTCCACTATAACTTTCACGACACACACGAGGCTAGAGAACCAGTGTCTCTCTCTCTCTCTCTCTCTCTCTCTCTCTCTCTCTCTTCCTCTCTCTCTTTCTTTCTTTTTTCTTCCTTTCTTTTTCTCTCGCGATCTTACAGCGCGTCCTCTTCGTCATTCTGTCGTCGCCTCACGAATCGCAGATCCGCTGTACGTCCATTCGGCGATTTTTTTGACGCCGAACCCGGATGGTTGACCGATGCTCGGAGACGCGCGTAACAATCTACTGCTTCAGAACGCGACATTCCGTGATGCCAGGAAAATTATTGCAAAGATCATCGATGTTACTCAACAGCGATCTCTCAAATTGGAAAATCCGGTTTCTGAATATCTTTCAATGGTTCACGATCGTTTCTTCGTAGTCGCGAGTGTTTCATAACGATTTCTTTTTAATTAGGACTGCTGACTCTTTTTCCGGTCACAGATTACAAGTTGAGCAGTTTGACAAAATACAGACGGGTAACAAGTTCGTTCTAGGATCCAGATTTGAGGTGCTTTTGCTTTTCATCGTGAATGAAAAACACCGAGGTGATTCCTTTCACGAGGATATTCATGTGAAATTCCAAGCGTGACGTCGATGAAACACGTTCAACAAATATCTAGAATTTAGAATCGCAATAGCTGACCCAATCGCTCTATCAACGTCCTTGCGCTTGCGTCACGCACTGTCGTCCGAAGACGATATCGTTATCGGATTATTTGATCGATCGTTGATATCTTTACGCGTTCGATTACGCTTGGATTGAGTTCGATTACGACAGGAAATTCAAGGAACGACAGAAATCTCTTGAAAGATCTCCTCCAAAGTAATTCCTCCGAGAAGAAACGCTCCGCAAACTAATTGACACTCGTGGAGATAAATTTCTCTCGAACGGTGTACGATAATCACGATGAATCTGCGTGTTGCGATATCAGTTGCGGCCGCGTAATTAATTGTGCGTGCAACGAAGGCGTCCGCTTCAAATTGCAGTCGACCTGAACTAAACACCTTCGCTGTTTCCGTACGTTGCATCCACCAAGAAGGCCGTATTTGAATACCTTGCAAAGATTCGCGGATATCCGTTCTGTCTGAATAGATGGCTTGATCGAAAATATTTAAGAAAACCATACATGCTGGATTTTGGCCAAAATGGTTCAATTTCCTTCGTACGATTTGGGACTTTTAATTTGCGAAATACTGATCACGCTGTACGTTACTCGTTTTCTCTAGAAACATCACGAGTACAAATTAGTATATTATATTAATCTCTTGCACGCACGTCGAGAACTTTTTGTTTCAAAATTATAATATTTCCTAAGTTTCAAGTATACTTAAGTAAAACAAAATAGGGCGAAACAAATGATAAATTTATTACTTCTCAATAATTTCTCAAAAAGAAAGCGGCGAATTATTGTGTACGGTTTGGTCACTCGTTATGGTCCGCAATCGGTTGCCAGCGCCAGCTTGGTTAAACATAAGATTGATTACAATGATGAGAACCAAGGATACTGCTTACTGTCGAAAGAGCATTCACTGTGTGGTACTTGTTATCGTCTTTTTAACAACTCTTCGCGGTTAATTTATTTCACGTTTGCTCGATACAGGATTCAATGAAAAATATTGCAAATTTCACGGATGAAAGAATCGAGTTATAAGCGTGTATAAAAGAAATGCTTCTTTGGGCTTGTATTTTAAATTGTCCATTGAATTGCATTCTTGAATTCTTGAATTACATTCTTGTATTGTTGAATGCATTCTTGAATTGCAAACACAAGATTCATTCTCCTGACATTAGGGTTGTAGGAGAATCTGAACGTGAACTGAATGCTTTCACATGGCGCACGTTCTACGAGGCATTGATGTCTCCAACGTTTTGGAAATGGCCACTTCGTGCTATTCCAATGAGGATTAAGTTCTACTTCTTTTGATTTTTACAGTAGAATCTTCCACGATAATCCTGTAAATACAATGATATTTTAATATTTAAAATATTATATATTATACATATATTGTAAAATATTGTCAAATTTGAATTTGACGTAAATAAATATCTAAATTATCAAGGAAAAGTGAAAAGAATATGGGTATAGAAATATCTAATAAAGGAAAATTAACACATATTTGTCAAATTTCGATGATAAAATCAAAAGTTTCTACTTTAACAAAGAAATTAAGAAACAATTGCCTAGTATAAAAAATATATAGACACATATATATATATATCTTTAAAAATTGTCGCAATAAAGATTCGAGAAATCAAAGTTCTCCAACATGGCGACAAAGTTGTACCCTTGTACAACCATAGTTTTATTATGTCAGTACTCACCAACAGATGGCAGAACATTATCAATATGATCGAGTAAGCACACATTTACGTTTTATTATCTACTGCTCTCTTTTATTTATTTCATTGATTAACAGGCACTCTATCGTGTCGATTTAGGCAGGCTCTGCACCGCAGCGCTACTAAATTTTAACTAATAATTTATAACAATCGGGCAATGTATATTTAAGAACGTGAATTATTGAATGAAACAATTAGTTTAATTAATAGAGAGGTTGTGAAAATTATATTAAATGATATTTAGGAATGTTATTGAAACAAAATAATTTCATTCTTTTAAATCAATTATTCAAACTATAAAATAATGCATTTTTATGATATTTTTGTATATTATTTAACAGTTTTAACTATTTGCTTATAATAATTGAATCAGTGATCGAATCCTCTTAGAAAGAGAATGATTTTTATAACTAAAAAATATAAACTTTTCGTATCACAATACTGCTTTGATTCTGCAGCATTCAACTTCCAACGCTTCATCTTTCAACTCGACCAAAAAAATAATAAAAAAAGGAGAGAATGAAACGAAAGCAAACTCTAATATATTCAGTCAGCTATACAAATATTGTAACATCCTCATATCGGGAAAAGACATAGAAAAACCTGGATAAAAAGAGAGCAAAAAATACGATACGATAACAAATGTTGACATCTTCTTGCACTGATAGACACAATCATTTATTCTTGCAACAAATATAATACTGTATGAAGAAACATCAGAAACTTGTGCACAAATTTGCTTAACACTTCTATGAAGGACACAAGAACTGTAATCACCGTGTGGTTTTATTATAGAGAAGCCAGATATAAAGGCCATTATTCTCATTGTTGGCCTGTTATCTTTTCTATGCGAGTCGAGATGCAACGAAAGAGTAAGATAGATTAGTGTCTCCGTACTAAGATCCATCGCAATAATTTGTAATTTCGACGTGTACATAAGTAAAATTTTTTTACAGAAAAGAATATTTCTTTCTTTCTTTAGTACTGAGAATGTTCGTGTATTTATGAAAAATTTAGAAATGCAAAAATGTATAGAAGCACGTGCGTATCACAGATATGTGACATTCAAGCTTTTTAATAACATAATGAAAGAATTTTGAATTCTTTTTTTTTTGGATCCCTCACTGACATTGACATAATGGTCAAATCGTCAAATCAAATCGTGGAGTTTCGAGATAAAACCGGTTGGCAATTGTAGGTGATTAGAATTCCATTCAATCTACGATTCGTATCATTCTAATGTTTAATGGACCGTGCAATTTGTATGAACAATCGTTGATGTGAATAACAAATGTCACGCAAATCTCTTCAACGAATATTTCACACGTATCAATAAATAAAATTATCGATTTCGATCGAGCAATGTCGCAAAATCACAATTATTTGCATAGTACATTTGTATCAAAATTCATATATTAAAATATATATATATATATAAATGTTTTGATATATGAAGAAAAAAATATTAAATAAATTCGAAGTTGAATGACAGCCTCAGAGATTGGAACATATGATCATTTTTGTAAAAATGAACTAAATAAAATGTTCAGATTTAACTTGAAAATTTTCTTATGGATTTTAAAGTTTCATATGTAGTGAAGTATTTTAATACATCTGAAATGTACTCTGAATCTCTTAAATAATATAAAAATCTGATTGAATAAACTTGTCCTCATTTTCATATTCTGAAATCACGATGGATACAAGTCAAAACATAACATTGTAATATAAGTGACCCCAATCCAAGAGAGATTGTACATAATATTTATAAACACTTATCAACACTCGTATGATCTTTAAATCTAACACCAATTTAAAACTGTATCGACACAAACAAGTTGCAAAAAATTCAGCCTGTTCCGGCTGAATGAAAAAATGTCAAACTCACTTGCTGTAATAGCTAATAATTATGTTTTAATGTAATAATAAACGATAAGCGTCAAATTAAACGTAAAATTAATCGACAGCGTCAAATTTCCAAAAGATTTGCTCTCCTTAAGAATATTAATCTTCAATAGAGTTACAAAATAAAATACTAAAATATAGAACATGAAATTTATTTAGAGATATAGCAACGTAAATCTTTACAAATGAACGAATCTCGACAAAAAAATAAAAAGATCGAGCAAACAGAATCTTCTTTATTATTTCGCGAAACTGTCGCGAGAAACAATAAAAATACTCGCTAATACTCTGTGTAACGTGCAAAGCGTTCCAAGTATTTCCAGTCTGTGTAATCTCGGACGTACGTATATCTTCGCATCTTGAGGTTCGACGTTATTTCACGCTTACGAACGCGCCGACAGATTCAGCAAAACTTTCAACCGGGCCGCAAACCTCTGTGCTGCAATTACTTAATCAGAGGAGACAGGGGCATGGAAACGAGTCGCGGGTACGCGTGCACTTGCACTCGACGATAAATCAAAGGATGAGATCGACGGCTGGACGAAAGAAACGCGGGTGACTTCGTTACCGCGCGATCGCTGGAAAAATTCGATAAGCATTGAACCGGCCGGCCGTTTCTATATACTATCCCCGATTCGGTCGATGGATCAGTAGCAGTTCGCGCCTCGTACAGTGTAAACGCTTCTTTAATAGTCGTCAAATCGACTTATCTCTAAATCTGTGTGGTCGTCGAACTGAGTCGTCAACGTTATTCAACTTGGTAAAATCAATTTTCCATAATTCGTCGAGTAATTTTTTAATCTGTGCTGTTCTCTCGATTCGACGTTCGATATTTCGCCGCATTTTCTTTTTTCTTTTCGAATCGACTCTCGTTTGAAATCATCTATTACTTTTAGCAACAATTACGGTCTTGCAATTGTCATCGAATAGAACCTTTCAAGTTGATCTCTTCAGTTTCAGCAAAGTGTTAATATATTAGATAATTAAATTTGTTATTATTATGTTATTAATATGTTATTATTACATTAAATGATTTTATTCAATTGAATCTTTACTGTGTGCATTATTAATATGTTATTATTACATTAAATGATTTTATTCAATTGAATCTTTACTGTGTGCATTATTAATATGTTATTATTACATTAAATGATTTTATTCAATTGAATCTTTACTGTGTGCATTATTAATATGTTATTATTACATTAAATGATTTTATTCAATTGAATCTTTACTGTGAACTAGACAAAGCAATATATTGTGTGGGCTGACTGTTTGAGATCTCAATAACATTTCCTGGACACAGGTTTGTCACAATTTGGTGATATCTGTCTACAAAACTACATTACACCAATATCAGAATATGACGATATTTTTATGAAATCCCATCGGAGGTGGGGTTGTTCGAGCTTTATTGAATGTAAGATGATAGATCGTTGACAAAGTAACAAAGAAAAACATGGAAAAACAAGCCGCCGCTATGGAGATACCTGCTCCAATTGAGAACTTCAATGAGACATCGGAAAGTCCCAAGACACAAGGTATATCTTGAATTGATCTTACAGTCCTTAAAGAGAAGATAATATCCGATATAGGTATTTTTTAAAAATTTCCTCTAGAATTAAAGAGCAAACAATCAAAAGCGAAGTTTCGAATATTTTACAAAATTTTACTTAAAATAGTTGTTGAACTTTTTTGAATGTCCGATTATAGAAACGGAGTCCGCCAGGATCAAAAAAGCCGAAGTGCGTGACATAATTGTCAATGAGATGCAAGGGCAGATGCAGGTAAATTGAAAAAGTCAAACTTATATTGATTATCAATTATTATAATTTCTGAGTGTTCCCAGCATCGTCTTTTCAATCTAAGCCACAATAAAATTCAAATTTTCGCATAAATAAATTGATGAAACGAATGGCGCAATCAATCTAATTAATTTTTGCTAAAACTTTCATTATTACTGGATTATTACTTACTTAATAACAATTATTGAATTATTCAATTTACTTGAGTACAATGATTATAACAGCACTGAAAGATAAATTATCTTCAGCTAAAGGTGCCAATGACATATCTTCTTTTTTTTTTTTCTATAGGAAATCAGACAAGACATTTTGGAGATTGTGAGCAGCCGAATGAATGACATGATATCGGAAGTAATGCGCAAAATCAATTCGAAGGAGTTGAAAGATCTGCTGGACTCGAAGAATTACTCTAATAGAACGTAATTATATAATCGCTCTTAAAAACCTTGATATTACACGCTCTATTCTCATATTACTTTCGATTTACACTTCGTTGTACACGTTGGTGCTAATTTTATTCACGAGCACGATGCGCTTCTTCGTTACAGATTCATCTTCAAAAAGCAACTAGCTAATTATATTTTAGCAACTGGCAAATTATGTTTTAAATTAAATGAACGATGTTGTTCTTCTTAATTGTCACGAAAGAGTCGGGAATATCTTTTGAAAGAGAATTTTTTTTTTCAATATAAAAAAAAAAAAAAAACACGAGAAGTTCATTTCATTTTTAATTTCTTGAATTCGCGGAACAGAAATTTAATTTTTGTACTTTGTTTCGATCGCATTATTCGAAATTATTCAACGAGTGTCTCCAGTGTTTCTGTCTCTTACAAAAAAAAATAGGTGGCAATTTTCGAATGAATGACCTTACGCGAATATTTGGCCGTGAATCGAACCTAACTCGAAGATCATTCGAATACACGCGCACTTAACCGCTTTGACCTGATTCAAGACTTTAGTATAGACTCTAGCATGTTTGTACACAATATGTAGAATGTAAAGAAACAATGATGTTAACAAAAGAATAAAGAACAATATTATATAAGAATTAGCGAAACTGGAAAAACATGATTCTTACACGTATTTTATAACAATTTACGAACATGCGATCATCAAGTGCGAAAATTGAACCAAAAGAACTTGCATAAATATCATTAAAAACAAAAGATTCGAATATCTTTGAAAATCTTTAAAAAGATATTAAATATAAGAAGATCTTATCGTGTGTAATAAAAAAAAAGAAAAATCGATCTATCATATCTGAGAAGAACTTTAAACTGTGCTTGCACGGATTAATAAGCTAAAGAAGCCAAGAGATGAACGATAAAATAACGTTCGTCGTTGCTATCATGTACATACATACTATGAAAACATGATAAAATGTCGAATCGTGATAAACTGAACTCAAGTGCATGCGTACTCGCTGTTTTCGTAATAACTTCTTCATTTCAGTACATTTCGGTGCATTTCTTTTCACTTTATCGTACAACACGTATTATAAATTGTTCGCAACACGTATTAAAATGTTTATAAAACATTTAATCAACATCAAGTTGGTATTTTTGTCGCCAATTTCTTTTTTCAATTGCTAAACACTTCATTTATGATTTCATTACAGGAAACCGACAAAAGAGAACACATTACGCAGCAAACAGTTTCTTCAAAGAAATTCACTATTGACCGACCTGTACGAGATCAAACATATTCGCACGCTTTATAATGCGATTGTAGCTATGTTGATAATTCTGTTAATACACACCGCTGTGTACGATATTCGACATACAGGCTCGTAAGTATCGAAAATCAACATTCGTACGGACCAATCATTCTGTTGAATCAATATCGACGAAAGCGGTGGAGATTCCTTTGCTAAATGAACATTTTCATTCGCAGCCTTCGAACTTTGATAATTTGATACTTTTAAATAAGACTAAGATTGCTCTTCACAAATTTCGTAGGCCCGAGTTGAGATAGAGTTTGATACTTTGGTACTTTTAAGTAAGACTAAGATTGCTTTTCACAAATTTCGTAGGCCCGAGTTGAGATAGAGTTTGATACTTTGATACTTTTAAACAAGACTAAGATTGCTTTTCACAAATTTCGTAGGCCTGAGTTGAGATAGAGTTAAGATAAAATGTCCAAAATGCAGAAAATAATAAGATAAAACAGAGTAATAAAATAAAGTAGAATAAAATAAAAGATGCGAAAACCTTCGATCGTGAGCACAATTCATTCTTTCAGGCCTAATCTCGGCATCAAGACGATCCGAGCTGGCTTTGCCAAATTTCCAATAGTGCTTCTTATCTGGTCCTTGATGAAGATCTCGGTTCTAGGAGTGTACGTTGCTTTCTGTTGTTGGGCAACACGTCGTCTCGAATACGCGCCAAATTGTAAGTGAATTTCAATTCGATTTATTTAGATTTTCATTTGCCAGATTTCATTTTAAATTATTTAGATTTTTAACGAAGTTCGATTTTTGTAAATTTCATTCTGCAGCGTTTGGCAAAAAAATTTGGGACTACGCGTGGCTGGGAGGTATCATTCTGTATCAAACTTTGCTCTTCATGCTTCCTACCAGAGCTGTACTCGATAACGACTTGCCACTGGCGTCCAGTATGATCATTCTCATGGAACAAGTAAATATTTCAATTGTCATTATTAATCATATTGTTAAATATCATTTTCAATCGTCTTTTCTTAATTGTCTCTTTATAAAACACAATTGAGAAACGATAGCAACAGATTTCCAGTAGACACGTATATAATGCAAATTAATCGTTACACTGTGAATTATAAAAAGATAAGAAATTCATCGCATCGATTAATAATCGTTAAAGATTGCAATGTAAGACTGTACCTCGTTGTGCATCTGGCAGGTTCGACTAGTAATGAAGACTCATGCTTTCGTAAGAAGCGTAGCACCAAAATTTTTGTTATATAAATCCCATTCGGAGACACCGGTACCACAGCCACCTGGTTTTTCCAAGTACCTTTACTTCTTGTTCGCGCCAACTCTGATTTATCAAGACAGATATCCTAGGTAAGTCGTAATTTCGTATTTTATATGCATCAAAATTTAATGACGACGTTATACGTGAACTGAAATTCAACATTCTGCGAGATATTTAAGATATCCTCTTCCCTTTCAGGGTAATTAGTATCATTATATATTAATCAAAATCAAAATGTTCTTTAAATTTGTCATTTCTGTTTCGTCAAAGAAACATTATATCTTGAGATAGCAGTCGAGAGTCATTATTACCAAAATGTGTTTACGTGATTGAATGAATTTTGTCAACTTAGATGTCTCTCGAGATAATATGCACGGTACTTTTGTACTAAAATGTCAAACTATACATCGAATTATCAACGTTTCGGGCACATGTACTCGATAATCACGGTAATCAATGAAACATAACGGTGCTTTGTCATTGTCGTTGTGTCTCGATTTTCCATATCTCTCAGCTAGACGATAAAAAAAATCCAAATAAATCGTAAAACGTAATCGAAGATTTAGATTAAAACAATCAAAAATTCATGTTTTAATTTCAGGCTCTGTACTTTTCATGAATAAATTTAAAAGAGCAATTATCTGACTAGGTACACATGTATATTTATCACATGTACTAGTAATTTTATTAGATCTGTAAAAGAAGTTTTGACTCTCTTTGAATACAATAAGAATCAAACTTATATATCAATAACTTAGGATAAATACTTGTAAAAAGATATAAAGAACATTTGTTACAAATAAATGAAATGTTACGCTGTTTAGGGCGAAAAACATCCGATGGAACATCGTTCTGAACAATTTTATCGAAGTAATAACGATCATCTTTTTCGTGGCACTCCTCTACGAACGATTGTTGTACCCAAACTATCGGGATTTTGGAAAACAGGTCGAGCTGGGGACACTGACGCTCAATGTTCTGAGCTCGATGCTGCCCGGAATTTTAATGTTCCTTTGTGGATTTTATCTTCTCCTGCACTGTTGGATGAACGCTTTCGCTGAACTGTTGCGATTCGCCGACAAAATGTTTTACCAAGTAAGTTTAAGTCTCATTTAGCTTAATTAAAATTAAAAAACAAAGCATCGTGATAAAAACGCTAAACTAGCTGTTAACTTTAACGATACTAAACAGCTGGATTTCACTTTATATTTATTAATTCGAGCGAAACTCGATTCTCAAGTTCCCAAAAATAACCCAAGTCCTAAAAACTAGTTCTCGCGGTTGATCAATATCATTTCTGCACCTAAGTTATAAAAAGCAGATCTTACAAAACTCCCGAACGCAATATTTTAAACAACAAGAGAGAAAATTTCTCATAAATCATTATTATGATTTTTAATATCAGCACTAAAACAATACTAACGATTAGAGTATTAAAAAAACAAATCGATGAAAGTCTCGAAGAAGATGTGAAAAGGGTATTATGAAAAACTGAAATTTCCGATTCTTAAGAAAATTCAAATCTCAAATCTTTGAAATATTTATATAGAAAATAAATATATAAATATATAAATATAAATATAATTATAATTTATATATAATTTATATATAAATATATATAAATATAATATAATATATATATAAATATATATAAATATAAATATAATATAATATATATAAATATAAATATAATTATAATTTATATATAAATATATATAAATATAAATATAATATAATATATATGAATATAATTATAATTTATATATAAATATATAAATATAAATATAATATAATATATATAAATATAAATATAAATATAATTATAATTTATATATAAATATATAAATGTTGAAGTATAAAATATTGAAATATTTATATATTTATATATTTATAAATACTCTAGCAGTTTCAATATTAACATTATCAATATTATTATTATTAACATCTAGTAGGTTCAATATTAACATTATCAACATGTCGCTGTCAATAAGAAGTTGCCTTTGAATGACACATACTTAAGTACATCCTGCAAAGTAAATCAAAGAACATAGTAAGCAAGAAATTTGTCACATTCTCCAAGTTCCATTCATAAAAATCACACAATATGTGATGAATGCTTCTGAGAGATTCTCATTCAACAGAGATCCAAATCTGAGTCATCGAGATTGTTACGTCAAATCCATAGTCTTTCTACGTCTACATATTTCATTATCGTTCCTCTCGATCCAACTATTCCTTTCAATCTGTCGTAGCTTTCTTGCGGAAAGTTTATCGATCCAAGGACTCTGTACACCCGCGAGTGTACGGGTAACGAAATGCCAATAAAATCATGTCACACTGATTCAATTGCAGGATTGGTGGAATTCAATCTGCTACAGCGCTTATTATCGCACTTGGAACATCGTGGTCCACGACTGGCTATACACGTACATCTACAAGGACGTGTACGAGACACTGGCGCCAGGAAACAGGGTTCTATCTACTTGCGCAGTGTTCGCCATCTCAGCAATCATGCACGAGTACATTCTCAGCTTCTCCATCCGCTTCTTTTATCCAGTTTTGCTGGTTCTTTTCGGTGGTATTGGCCTGATGGTCGTGTTCGTATTGAAGTCAGCTGGAAATATATTCCTCTGGCTCTCCTTGAGCTCGGGCAGTGGAATATTAGTTAGTTTGTACTGTATGGAGTATTTCGCCAGGATCAATTGCCCCTCGGCTCGAGACGATTTCTTGGATCTCCTTATACCGAGAACTTGGACATGTTTTTTTAAGTGAATAAATTTAAAAGAAGAAAAAAAAAAGAACATGAGAATACGACTAATTTGAGTTTAAGTAAAATAAATGCTTTAGATTATAATTGTATGTATGATAGCAACATGCTGTGCCGTGTGTCGAGGAAACTGGTTTGTATGAGAATTTTTTCAGAGTTTATTCTCAAGTATGTAAATATTGGATTCCAAAGAAACATTTCAAGTTTATTGATTGGAATAATTTGGATTGCAATATTTTTAATGGCGCGAATAAAAGTACGGCGCCTATAATTGAAGCTATATAAATTAGTACGAATAAGTTATGAATTGTCTGAAACGAAAGTGATAGAAGATACAATACAAAGTATTGACTAAAATTTATGACATTTTAACTTAAAAAGGAGATTCAAGTGTAACGTGTAATTGTAAAGGAAAAAAGAATAAAAAATTGTAATAAAAAATAAATAAAGTCTTCAAAAGAATTGTTTTTTTTTTTTTTTTTTTAGAATAAGTGTTTCAATTAAAAAGTTTTGCACACTGGGTACCAATATGTATAATAGATGAAATAAAGGACTATCATTTGTTTTCTTATTTTGTATTTACTCTTCGCTCTTTTTCTCTTCTTTCTTTTTTTCTCTTTTTTCTTTTTTTTAGCAATTTTTTTAGCAATTAAGTCAGAATCGAAGAAACGCGCGGATAACAATTTTTCAAAAAAGACATGGTCTTTATTATCAAGGCTTACATACGTGTCCCGAAGATTCAGCGTGCATTCGAAGACACTCGCCGTCGATAAAGATAATTATATGTGTACTTTATAATTATATGTATATATCCTCTTCTTTTTTTCTTCTTTTTTTTTTCTATACAGCTCGATGCTTAAATGTACATATACACGCGCTAATACAGTTACATTTATACACAGGCTTCATCGTAGATTTGTATCTGCCTCTTTCTTCGCACGCGTACGTTGTAGAGAAATAAACGTATTTCATATGTAATGTACGTTTCATAAAATTCTTCGAAGTTCCACGCGACGTCTTTACAGTGCGTTAAATTACATCCGAAATGTTACAACATTATTCAATTTTCTAACAAAAGATTCATTCGGCCTCGAAGAAAGTCAATATTTCAATTTATAACAGCAAACATTGCAAAATGAAAATTAGGTTTGACACTTTGCTTGCCATTTCTGTAACAGTTTCACGAAAACAGACGAGACAAATTCAAAATTGAAATTATACCACTTTCACCCACAATTCCTTTCCGTTTCTTCGCAACTGACGCAAAAGTATTTTATTATATAAAGTGTCTCGGGAATCTTCGAACCGACAAAAACAAATCTAGCATAAGAAATTAAGAATGTCTTGCTAATAGAAAAGTAATACATACGTTTTATGCATAAACTGAAATAAATAATTACAAACAATAATCACTAACCGAGCATCTCTCTCGCATTCTATCTTCTCTTTGCCTCTCTCGTTTATGTTGAATTCATTGATCTTTTATATTCGTCATACTTGTATATTTTTTTGTTCCTTTGTTTACAACAGCTCTATATACATCATTGTGAGTATTGAAAAAATAAACCACATTTTTTTTTTTCTCTCGGGAGCACCGGACAATTTCCTCTTCAAGGAGAATTTCTTCCTCTCTCTCATTCAATTTTCTTTTTATCTGTCGAAGCAAAGTATTGTCTGTAATACGGTGCTCCCGCTTGAAAATACAATTTTCATTAAATTTACACCTGGAAAGCGAACGTATGTCATCATCTTAATTTACTTGTCATTTTCTCTCTCTCTCTCTCTCTAATATTTTTTAATTATCCGCAACAGACATATAATTCGTTTACTCTATTCATATAACTTCCGTGTCTGTTTTCTCTTCTTGATCTTTGGTTCGAACATCGAATAATCACGCCGCAGGTTGACACGTCGGCGATTATTCGATCTTCGAGCCGAAAAATTTTTGCCTAATTTGTACAAAGACAACGTGTCCATTTTCTGAAGATCAAAATTTCAATCCTTTGGGAAAGGAGAATATTACACAAAAAAATAACATGTAGAACAATCATTGTTATTAAATTGCCGATGAATCACAAATCAATTAAACTTCATTTTATTTTAATTAAATTAATTTAAAATAACTTGCTGAAATGATAAGAAATCAAAGGTACATCAAAGAACTGAAATTCTATCTTCGAAAATCTTCGTTTTTCCTTTTTCTTTTTTTTTTTTTTTTACCTATACTTGGCACTTGGTACCTACTATCTCTTCCCTTCCGCTTACTTCCTTCGATTCATAATTTTCTATCGCGCAGCTGAGGATACATAGAAAAATTTTCTTAATTAAAAAGTATCGATTCTGATAAAACTCCATAAAAATCCGGTGAATTCGTTTGTGAGAAAGTCTTTCGTAAGTTTCGATGGATTTTTATCACCCCGTCGTGTCCTCCGATACTTCGATCCATGATTTTCTGTGATCTATTCGCTCTAAAATATTCTTCGGTAAAAAAAATGAAACGACACTCTGCTTGAATACAATACTGCTTTTGATTCTCATTGTTTCTACAAAGTTTCATTCCTAATACGCGACAAAATTAATTTTCGATGCATTCATTTCATTTCCTTCTCTTTTTTCTTTCTTCGCGAATATTCACGAACATTCGTCAAGCAAGGATTGCTCAAATTATGGAAATAATTTCTTACAATATCGAAGCACTGATTTTTCTTCGTTGTAGACTGCCGAAGAACTGTTACGAGGAAGGACAATTGGAGCGAGTACAAGAACAGGAAGGTAAGGATAAAGGACTTGATCGTTGGCTATATGATCTATCCTTTCTCACGGCCATTCGTCCAATAAAATTTCTTCACAGTACGGTATTTCCAAAATAGTATATTCCACATAACTTAAATAAACAATTTCTGTCTAAAAATCTATCTTTTAAAGAAAAAGGAATTTCTGGTCAGAAACGAACAGGATATGTTCAATACGATGGTTCTTCTTTCTCTTAAAAATCGTCTTCGTGTAATTTCTAACGTAAATAATTTCTGAGTGATATTATTACCTTTGAAACATTTGTACTCGTAATTAGTAAAAGTTTCAGACGTGTGAAATACACTAATCGGGAAATATTCTAACTATATATTTAATACCGCATGCCCATTCCACGGTGCCCTTACAAATATTGTCCAACATGGATTTCTATCGAAAATAACTTGTTATGTACTTGTCTATATTATTCCTCATATGCTGCGAACATTTAATACATCGTTCACTTTTTTTCACACACACATACACACACACACACACACACACACACTCTCTCTCTCTCTCTCTCTCTTTTTCTTAGAAATCTATAAACAATCATTTTATTGCTAGCCTCGAGTCCTCCTATCACGGCGTCTGAATTTTATTTATAATAATAAATCACTCTGATATACACAATTTTATTTTTTTCTTTTTATATATACATATACCTAAGAAAATTGAACTCGCGTCAAGATTCGCATACAATGACGTAAATGTATATATATATATATATATATAATTATATATGTATGTACTATGTATTCGGCAGGACATTTCAGAAGTGAAAATTCTCATTTATGTACAGGGTGTCCCCTTCTGACATCTATCAATTGTTTAATCCTTGGAAAACGAATTGAAAATGCTTCACTGAAAAATCTCAGACGCCCAACTCGTGGAAAGATATATTATCGAGCGCACAAATTTTTCTAAAAAATGATTCGTAAAATGTTAAATGAATTATCAAGTATAATTCAATAATCGAGTAAAATACACGTTACGAGTGAAAATGTATATGCAAATGTATATGTTATTTACAAAGATATTTATCTAGTCAAAGAAACTAAAGAAAAGAAGATATCTAGTCAGAGAAAAAGATACTCGATACTAAAAATGGTACTTTATATATATATATATATATATATATATATATATACTAAATACTAAGATCTGGTCAAATTAAATCGTTTCCTCAAGAGAAAACTTCCAAACTTTCGTAGCTTATAGATTAGATAAAATTAATTATTTAAAAAATAAAAATAATTGAGTATCAGAATAATCTGTTTCATTCGCGCAATCAATCTTTTCCGCTTCGCTAATTAATCAATTCTGTTAATTTATTTGTATAATGTCAGGAAAGCGTAAAACTGTGAATTCATCAAGTTTGATTGATATTAATAAACGACACGAAACAATGTTGAAATCTCTCACGATTATTGTTACATTCGCGTAAAACGATTCTTCGTATCTTTGTAAATGACACGCATTAAATAAATATTCAAATACAAATGCACACATCTTCACTTAAAATCGTTACAAATCGAATTCAATGAAAACTAACAATCTCGCTGCTATTGCGTCTCCCTTTTATTTTTCACTCAATGTGAAATAATGATCAGTATTTAAAAATTACAGGAAAGAGAAACACGATAAGTAATTCTTTTCACTTTAATATCGTTTATGATCATCTCAACAGAATCTATTCTAAAATATAGTTAGTTTCGTTCAATCCAAAATCCTAAAATATAGTTAGTTTCGTCCAATCCAAAATCCAAAAATATAGTTAGCTTTACCGAAACCGAAGCGACATTAAGAAACAAACAATATTTCAATCACGTGACAAGCATAATTTTAAAAATCATCACGAGGCTAGGAAACATAGACATTACGACTTATCGCGTTTCTCGCCTGTAATCATTATCCTTAAAATCTCGATCACAACAACAAGAGAAAAACAAGAAGCTAGGTACAACAAAGAAACCAAAAATTTCCAAAAATTATTTTACAAAAACATTCAAGTGCCAACTAACTCGAGGGCAATTCCGAATCTGTCCACCGCGGTCGGAAAACGTGGTGCACAGCGGACCGGCTGAATTCAATAGCAGCCAACATTTCGGAACACCCTGTGTGCCGATCGCGGCTAAAATTAAATCTAGAGTTTCAGTAACCTTCATTTACCCATTCCCACCAGCGCCTCGTCCATCAGCTCGTCGTCGGTGATGCACGGCGAGGCGGAGTGAGGCGAGGGCGGGATGACTCTCGGCGATGGTGCAGGACTTTTCACGATGTGCACGCTGACGGAAGGACTGGCTGGGAAGGCAGGCGGCGGTGGCGGTGGCGTGTTTCTGCGAACCGAGGCTGCCTGGGTCATGGCTCTCTCGGGGATGCTGGTGAAGTTCAGACTCTTGGCCACGTCCTTCGGCGTGGAAAAGTCTAACAGCATTTCGGCAGCTTCTTGGGACGTCGTCGTGGGTATCTCGGTGCCAGGAGGCTTCATCGTGCTGGACGAACTCTCCGAAGACACTGTTATTCCCAACGAGGACGAAGAGGAAGATCCTCCGGAAGACGGAACTTGCGGCAGTTGTGGCTGTTGCTGTTGTTGCGACTGTGGCTGCGACTGCGATACCTGCTGAGATTGTTGCTGTTGCTGAGCAGATGTTTGAGACTGTTGTTGTTGTTGCTGCTGCTGCTGCTGCTGCTGTTGCTGCTGAGACTGCTGCGGTTGTTGTTGCTGCTTCTTCTCGTCGGATTTGTACTTTGTCATCGTGGCATCTACCGGCTTGATGCTCAGGTTCAGGCTCTCGGAAGTCCCGTTGCCAGAGCTCGCTGCAACTGTCCCATTCCCGCTGGTTATTGTACCTGTCGTCATCATCGTAGGATACACGGATTTACTGGTAGGCTGTGAATCGGATCCTTTCGGTAGAACGGCCATTACCGGTCCACTGCCACTGTTGTCGTCTTTGCCAATGGCAGTGGAGTTCAAGCTGCTACCCAGAAACTGCGTGTTACTCCTACTCATCGGTGGTTCCTTGTCGCGGGACTCGTTCTCCGTTGACTGCATCGAGAGATTCGTGGGGATGTCCAGATCGTGCGAGCTACTGCTAGATAAAGAGGGAAGTAGAAGATTACTGGCACTATCCGTACCGAGGTTTATTATCGAGGTTGCGCTCGTCATAGAGAGATTGTCAGGCTTCGTTTGTACATGATCTCTTCTACTCTGGCTCGATTGATCCTCCGAGCTCGTTTTGGAGACAGTGCTCGACGTGTTCGACAACGTTTGCAGCTTTCCCTGTTCCGTCGTCTGCTTCGCCGCGAGATTGTCCAACGTTTTCCCACTATCGGGAAGCATGGACAATTTCTCAGATTTCTTGTCGCTGGAGTCTGCGTTAGCTCTGGCGGACAGCTTGGGTATTTGAAATTTAGTGTCCAATTGCTTCATAAGACCCTCGACGACCAATTGCGGTGGTAAATTAGGTAAATTCGATAGGTTCGACATGGAAGCGTGAGCAGCCAACAGTTTAAATGCTCTTTCGCTCTCGCTTTCCTCTCGCAGACCCGATGGACTCGACTTCCTAGTGTCTCCAATCCCTTTCGAGGGAAATATACTCTTGTCACCGGATTTCGACAATCGGGATTTATCACGATTCCGGCTGAGATCCGTCACACCGGAACTGGCTGTCTTCGGGGAGCTCGAGGAGGATTTGGAGGACATGACGTTTTTCGAAAGCAAAGCGCTACTACCGCTGCTACCGACATTGATTCCTCCAGCTCCGTTACCACTTCCAGAATTCGATCCTGAGATAGACTTCAAGGCAGTCAACATCTTTTGTCCTAGAAGAGTCGTTTTGTTACCGCTGCTGCTGCCGGAAGTGGATCCGGATAGCTTCGGCGACGTTTGAGACGGCGGTTTCTTCGACGCGGGGCCAGAACTTACTCCCGGCTTCAAACCGGTGTGAGTTTTCGGTGAACCATTGCCCGATATAGTCGTCGACGACGCGGATGAACTCGAAGATGTACCAGTCGCGACATTCGTCGAGGACGAGGACAGTTTCAGATTCCCACCGGACTTCGAGTCTTTTGTCCGTGTTTTATTAATCGTTATCTTCATTCCATCGGAGCTATGTTTCACCATATACTCTGCGGGATTTTTCGTATCCATGGATGAGTTTTTGCTGATACACTTGCCCTCCGTAGCTTTGTTCGAGGAGCTACCGAGACTCCTTTCCTTCTGACTGCTGGAATTACCACTTCCAGCAGTTGCCGACTTCGTTCCACCGTTGCCGCCGTCGTCCGTACAGTGCTGAGCATTTTTCAACTTGTCGATGACGGCGCTCAACGAACCCTTTCGGTTTCTCGCCTGTTGCTGAGCGATGGCCGACTTGCCCAGCTCAGAATTGCCCGACGGCGGTGTGTTACCGCCACTGCTGGGCAACGTGGTCTGCGCCTCCCCGCTAGGAATTAATTCCAGTTGTTTCAACTTACCGCTGGACGATTTGGTCTTTGGACTTTGATGGCCGCTCGACCCACCGAAGGCCAAAGACGACGTTTTCCTCTCCTTTTCTCGAGTGGAGTCTTTGCTCGACGAAGAGGAAGAAGATTTTATCTTCGACTGTCCAGAGTCGGTAGTTTTGCTTGATGGTGAATTCGCCGCGGATTTCAACGCAGACATACTCGGTTTCCCCGTGCTTGCCGAACTGCCGTGCTTTGGCGACGAGGTGCCATGCTTCGGGCTTACACTCGCAGGTACCGGCGTGTGTTTTGGACTACTGCTATAGACCGGAGAGTGCTTTGGACTTTGCACTGGCTTGTTTGCTGACTGTTTCAATGTAGGGCTGGACTTACCTACGAGAGCTAGAGGACTGGTATGCGTCGGAGACGGACTGAACTTTCGCAACGTCGTCGCGGGTGACGACGGTCGTGAGCTCAAGTTTGGCGGCGATTCGGTCGGCTTGATGCTTACCGAGACAGGTTTCGACAATGGATCCTGTTTAGATATTTTGTCCGGTGGCGGTCCCATAGGACTGTCCTCTCTCTTACGTTTACGTCTCTTCTCCAATTTTCCCTTATCCTCTGTCGATTTCCCCTTCGAACTTTTTCGTTCTCTACGTTCGTCTGTCAGATTTTTCGACTGTGTCGGCCCGGCTATCGGAGTTATAGTGATAGAGCTCGGTAAAGTAGTTTGCGGTGACGATGCGATCGGTATTATTTCAATGCCTGGCCTCCTTTCCAAACCCATCCCCGTAAGTACAGAGTTATAGTTGGTAGTCTGACCCAAACTACTGCTTGAAATTGGTGTTATACTTACTGAAGGCGGCACCAGACTTTTGTTCTCTTCGAATATAATCGGGCTCTTTTTCTCCTCTCTTTTCCTCGACTTACGATCGCGTTTGATCAATTCCTCGACGTCTTGTAAATCATGAACCTCCGTTATTTCACTCTCGTTATCGAGATCGTAATCGGAGCTCTTGTCCGTTCCCAAAATGTCGGTCGGATCTAAGTTAGAAAGATCCAAACCGCTGGTTAAACTCGTAGCTGACGTTGGCGTCGATGTCCTTGTCTCGTTTAAATTTTCTCTGCCACCGGTCGGTGTGCCGAGCGGCGTCGAGTCCGAACTAGAGCTCTCCAACAATATCTCGGCGCTTTCGTCTCCCTTTCTTTTTGGACTTCGCCAAATACCGTCCGCAGCTTTCCTCTTACGCGTCTTTTTTGTACGTTCGTTCATTGGATTGGACATAGAGTTTTTTGCCTGCCCGAGCAACGCTCCCAATTGTAATGGATTTAACATAGCAGTAGTTGCGGTATCGGATTGGCCGGAATACGACGGAAACCCGATACTATTCTCCGTTCCGGCATCTAAAAAAGACTGCTGTTGTTGCTGTTGTTGCTGTTGCGATGTCTGCTGCCTACCCATTGTTCCGTTCCCGTTATTCAATCCAGGTTCCTGTTTGATCTTCGTTTCGCCGTTAGTGAAGTCGGGCATCCCGGAACCATTTTGGCTGCTCGGATCTTTGCCGGAACCATGATTTACATTGTAGTTCCCGTTTCCGCTATTCAAATTATTCATCGTACTTAAAGAGTCGCGGCTCTCCCACGATTTCATGAGAATTCTCATTGTCAGAGGTATACTCAAACACTTTTGCAAGACTTTTCCGGTCAAATCTGACGTCTGTTCCGTGTTCGTTATACTTATACCGTACAATTTGCACTTGAGGGCAGAGATATCTGTTAAATCCAATTCCGCCGTCGCCATTGTCTCTTCGAAAGGATGCTCCAAACTTACCGATATGTGTTGCCACGATAAAGCACTTACTTCGAATATAGTTGCGTGTTCTGGATCTTGCCGAGCCATAGGTCTGACGCAACTAGCGATCAAAGTGTTAAAGAGCGCTTGTTGACGCAGGTATACCAAAATTTGTGGGACGTGTGCCGGATGAGTGAAAGGAATACTACACACTAACACACCTTCCATATTTTTATTCTCCGTCATGAAATAACAATGCTGTTGGTCTGGTAAAGTCTGCAACAGAAAATAATGTACAAAGTAACATAATGCTTCGACAATTAATTGTCACGTAAAACATTTTACATACAGCGTAGAGTCCTCTGTTATTCCGACAATCCAATTGTCCTTCACTGGCATGCAGAATAATCAAACTAAGTAACGGATGGGGAGCGGATATGTCTCCACATTCTAACTCCGTTACTTTCTGTATCCTACGTACTAGTTCCATACACATGGGCATCTTTTTAGCAAGCTTCAATACGAAACAAGCAGGTAACACTGATGAATTTGTACCAGTTAATGGAGCATAAGACGGGGTACTACAAAATATTATCAGTTAGAAATTGCTGATTCAGATAGATGCAATTTTTTGTCTTTCTTGTAAAAAAAAAAAAAAAACTAAGAACCTTTTTCCTGTAGGACTTCTATTTACAGTTATGATACTAGATGTAGGCAACTTGTGAGCAGTCGAACCTTCCATACAAACTGTAACGGAATGACCAATCTTCCGTTTAATAACTATTTCTGAATTCAATGCATCACAGGTACGATTCTCCTGATCTATTAAATCATAAGGAGAAACAAAATATGTCAACTTCATCGCATGACCTCCTCTTCTTCGCTCAAGAATTCCTGAATAAAATAAAAAATTACTCCCTCATCATATAAATTCTATCTTTCATGAAATTAAATACACGTATCATGATTTATCACTAACCAACTGGACTTTTATGAACAAGATTAAAAGGTTCTTTTATAAACGTTTGCAACTGAGCTAAGATACCCAGATCAGCTTCCAATGACTGTAGAGCACTGAATGCTTTACATTTTATCTTCTTATCAGCATTTAATTGATATATTGAAGCTAAACCTTCCAATTGTATTGTAAAATCAAGAAAATCTCCTCTTGACAAACAAGACACCAGTACATCACAGCTCTGTAAAAATTCCATCAAAAATATTCCATAAAATATATTTTAAAAAAAAATACTTTCTAACAAAAATAAAAAATCTGTACCTGCTGTTCGTTTTTCCCTTCATGATGAATTTTAACATCTTTAACTACACCTGTTGGCTCCAAAAGAATCTCCAAAAAGAACATGTCTGAGGAAATAAATAATTCTGTACCTGGTGGACCAGACATCATAAACTTTAAGCTGTAACCCAATCGCAACAACAAATGTTAACTAAATTGTCTAATTTGGATTTTCATAAAACTTATGAGTAAAATTTGCAAGTATTTACCCCAGTTGCCTAGTTAAACTCTCCAAACGTTCTACCATGGATTGTAAAGAGGTTACTTTAATGGAATGTTGTAAAGTATCTAAACATTTTTGTAGTTGACTTTTTTCAGCACTGTCGATTGCAAATCTTTTATCCTATTAAAAATAATTTAAAAATCAATACTCATTCCAATCTATCTAATCAATATATTACAAGTTACATACTAGCATAGCCATCCGTAAATTTTTGGCAGTTTCCACCAAGGATTTGAATGTAGAAGCTTTGGAACGTAATTTTTCCATAAGCAGTTCCATCTGCCACTCTTTCCCTTTGTCCATTCCTGAACTACCAATGGCAGAAGGTTGCCCGCCTAAATTATAAAATTCATACAATTAATTGTGTAATAATACCCATTGAAATATTAAACATGTATTAAATGAATAACAAATAACAAAAACCAATTTCAATACAATGAAAGCAAATTTCCATAATTATGAATAGCTGTGTCATTAAAAAAATAATTATCTTTTTGTACATATAATACGAATAAATATAAATCGAAATTTCACTCGACGAACATTGAAATGTTTAAAAATAATAGCATCTATACGAATATTTTATTCAACGAACTAAGATATTCAATTTATTACGAAATAAAATAAAATTACATAAATCGTATTAAATAAATTGTAAATTACACTCACTAAGGGGCTTTTGTCCGTTCGCAACATCCATGTATTCCGTGGCGGATCACACGGATGTTGTATTTACGCGTATATCAATATACGTTTACTATTGTAATATCACAATAACATTATTATATAGCACATTGTGACAGGAGCTGTTATTTTCACATAACCCACGTTTGATCATTTAACTGCTCCTAACCTTCGCGCACGATGTACTAACTATACTTAGAAGCCATACATTTCTAGTAGGTACGTATAGGCGTTTTCATCCATAGTGTACTTCAAGAAGGGAAACACAAGTCTCGCTTCTTGTACCCTCTATAGTTACATTTAGCAAACAAATATTCAATAAAATTTCTAATACTTCTTAGATAATGAATTATTTGCAACAAGTCATTAATTATATTTAATTATGATAATAAAAATATGCTTCTTAATTTGATACGAACATAATCATATATCATGTAACTAGAACTTAAAGCCTTCAGAAGTAGCGAATGATATGAAGTGCGTTTCCACATAAATTATTATATTTGTGCAATATTATTTATCTAGCAAATAATCAAAGTTACACCAAGAAGAATATTATACACGATAATGAAAAATATTTCAGTTACAATTCAAATATATATTGCTACTTTTTGAATGCGTTTGAGAACGATATCAAAGTGTTGGATGCAGTTGCAGCGACATCTTTCGTCACGTCCAAGAAAGTAAAAAATCACTAGTTAGGTACTATACAAATACATGTATAAACACACACATACAACAATTAAGTAAAATAAACTTCATTTGATTAATTAGCATTTCTATTAAATTCTATATATTTAAATTGAAACTGATTAAACCGCACTAATTACTGTAAAATTACAAATTGAAAATACTACATACAAGATATATTAACCAACTAGATATTAATTCATTTTTTAATAGAAAAGGGACATTGGTTGCAGTTTAATAACTACAGTTAACATTGAAAATATTCTTTATTAGTGGACATTTTCTTTTACTTGGATCTCGGCTAAAACTTATACAGATAATTTCATAATTAATTATTGAACATTTTGCCAAGATACTAACAATGCTACTACTTTGAAATGTTCTTTATTCAAAAATATTATATAAAAATAATTTCTAAAAAGCTGTATTTCAACATTTCTCCTAAAATTTTCTCTATAAAAACTTTTAGACATTCTGGTCAAAGCATTTTTTTTTTTACCACTAAAAAAATTAGGTACTCTTGTACTCTTACGATCAATATTTACTACGTATATTGTAAAATTTCCATGTCTACCTTTTATTATTCTAATACTTTATGGCATCTTACCCATAAATCTCTGTTACCACCAAGCAGATTTTATTTAATACTGATAGCTTTCAAACCAACAAAAAAACAAAACTACTATATTTTCACTCTAATCAAAAATCAATTTCAATCTTGTATTGATACCAATCAATCGTAAATCTCTCAATATTGTTACACTAGGAATTAATTTAATGGATCGACTGTCACCAATTTAAAATTGAATATTTTTCAAAAATTTTTTTACAAATACTCCCAGTCTAGTCATCAATCGACATGTACCAACTTTCACTCTACTCACAGACTCGAACTCTCAGTGTACTTACAAAGTTATACCTACTTAAAGAGGAAACAAAATATTTGCCTATCTAACTGTAAAGCACCAACTGAACGCGAGTGCACAGTCTTATTTAGGAAAGTCTTTAGAATCATTCATGGACTGGCCCTTTTTCCGTGGTAACTGCAACGTAATAGGTTGAACATCCTGAACTTTTCTGGGCCCCTGATTCGAACTGCGAAACGTAATCTTCAGATTGGGTACGTGCTGTTCGCCTGCCCAATCAAAATTGAAAATCGGTGTTTCCGGGTGTAGCTCAGAGTCTGGAGTGTCGACCGGTGTAGTTGGCGTAGCTACATACGGGCTAAGTTCCTGATGAACCACATCTGGCACCCTTTGCAAGGTATCCGACCAAACTGGGCTCGAGTTCCAGTGTTCCATAGATAGCTCCGAAGGATCTGCTGTCGACCCTGTTACGGACGCTGATAACGCCTTACCCGGAAGTCGTTTGTGGCTGTTGTTCCTTTCGTTACAACAGTATTCCTTATCTAAGTCCGTGATATAATACTTGGGCGATAATGTGTCCATGCTGTATTGACCATGGCATTGGATAAACTTTGCGCGATAACCGCTCAAATTCAATGAATTTTTATGATGCGTTTTGTACCTATCGGTGAACTGACTAAGCGCATAATGGCCATGTTGAATGTTCACGTGCACGTTCCTGTTTTCATGCTCGCTACTGCTGATCGACATATCAACTGGTTCCGCATCTTCTCGTGGATTTCTCGCTGCGTAATCCTTCAGCTGCGTCTTCGACGAATTGTGCAGATCTTGCTCAGAATTTCGTATGTCGGGAGAATGTTGCGTATCGTTGTTATGTGCGTGGGACAAGGAACGAGTGTAATCTTGCTGTTGATTACTTTGGCTGCCGGTAGCGTATGGCACATTGCGGTTCTGACTTCCAGAGCAGATGGTGTAGGTAAATTTAGTTTGGGACGAATACTGGTACAGCCAGGAACTTGAGCGCATTACTTCCGCTTCCCTGTCACTGTAATAGTGCGTTACACCAAACACGCTTTTAGCTTATCATCTTTACTTAATCAATAATTACTTTATGCTAATATTAGTTACTTAATTTATAAGAAAAATAGTGGCTAATGCGTTGCAAATCGTTTCTAACATTCGTTATTATGCCCAATATGAAGAGGAGAAAGCGGAGATTGGAATTGGAAATAAAAGTTTTAAATGTGAAAAACGCACTTCAAAACTTGGTTTGTGCACACAATGATAGGATGTTGACATTCTTCGGAAGTGTCTTTGACTTGTAAAACGCAATGTACCCAGAACCACCGTCCAGAACGGCTTTGCAGTCTCAACAATGCGGTTGCAGAGCGTTCTTGATCAGACTGAATAACTGAAACAATCGTGGATGATATCAAATGCTTTAAATATTAATTTTGTTTTTGAATTAGCGCCCGTTTCGTATTCTCTAAGTTAAAAAAAAAGAAAAGAAAAAAAAAAGGAAACATAAATTGAACTGTTTTGAAATTTTCTTTTTGAACGTACCAGTTTGATGTTTGCAATATGCTGTCCGTATCGAATCCCAATGTAACAAATTATACCATGACATATTCACTAATTCGTTGCGGGTATATTCCAAATGGCTTTCAGCCCTGAAAAATTGGTAATAAGAAGTTTTAATTTTCGAAAGTTTCAAAATTTTTCATATTTTTCAAACAAAAGAAATAAAAATGTTACGTTTTATCGATATGAAGATACTTCATATCCATAGAGTGAATGGTGGTGAAAATATTTGTCGCACCCTGCACGATACTTTCTCTAGTTTCCGGTAAAACAACGGGTGTGCAGGAAGCAAGGAAAACAAATTCATTTCGATTACAAACGGGAACGAAAGGTAAAAAATGGCCTTCAACTAAAACCACCTACAAAAAATAACGATAAAACTACACGTACGAGCAACATATACATTACGAAAAAGATAATACATATTATAATCAAAGAAAAACAATAGTTAAAAATATATAATTGTCGGGATAACACGAAATAAGAATAAAACGAGAGAAGAGAGAAGGGAAAATTGGTTAAATGTTCAATTCAATTAAATAGAAAATTTACTTTTTGATCGCCGAAACGAAGCTGCCTCCGAGAATTCCTGGATACGTTGATCCGGCAAAGAAACAATCTCCTATCGCTTGGAATTGGACTATTTCTAGATAATTGATTTTGTACAACCATGTGATCTTGCTTGTCTATTACGTCGTAAACACTATCCCCGTGGATAAGCAAATCCTCCTAAAATACATTGCACAATGTAGGACAGAATGAAATTTCATTCCTCCAAATCCATTATTATACAAAGGCAATTTTTTTTTAAACATCTGTCCTAATGAATTCTTGGTATGATCGATTACCATAATTTCTGTGTCTTTGCAATTACTTTACCATTGAGTGTCCAAGATATTCTGCCGCATTTTCCGATATATACAACAGTTTCCCTTGTTGAGTCATCATCATTATAAATCCGGACATGGCCTGAAAAATTGCATGCATTGTATGGCCAACATTTGTACCGTAGCAACTAACGGTCAAGAATACAATGCGATATCATGATAAACAATATTACTTTTGAAAATCCAATGTTAGGGGTCGGGATATTCGAAGAGTCGGACGGACAGTTTTTCAAGGCTGAAACAAAAAAAAATACGATCAACATATTACTCAATGTTCAATAACGTTGCAACAACATTTATTGCGATATTCAAGAATAATCTATGAAACTAGATCGGTATTTCTAGGACTCTTGCTTTATTATTCATAAACATATCATCTTAAAACTTTTCTAAATGTAAAATCCTCTTTATCTCGGTAAAACGGTCTCTTATACGCGAACAAAGGATAACGAATAATAAATTAAGTAATGAAATCTCAATAGATAATATCGTCAATGTCAAATCGAAATTTTTCAATTACACCAATTAGAATTGAAAAAAAAAAATGACACGATCAAACACAATAATTATCTCAAGTCGAATGTTATTATTCCTTTTCTCAGAAACCCTCAACTAATTGCAAGATATGACTTCTCAAAGTACGTCGAGCTTTATCGATACACGATAGAAAATGATCTTCGTTCACTACGAGAAATAATAATCGTGATCGATGGAAATTCATCGGGACGAAAAGGGAATGGCGGAAAATTCATTGAATCGGCGCGTTTTCCATGGTCGTCCCGGGGGGAAAGAAAGAACACTGGAGAAAGAAAAAAGGAGCGAGAAAGAGGAGAGGGAAAGAAGCGTATGCTAATGCAGCACGGGTACGTTTACAAACGGCGCTACACGGGACTATAGTATCGAATACTGTGAAACAATGAGTATGTAGGAGAGAAAGAAAGAACGACGGAGAGCGGAGAGACGATACAGAGGGAGTATGGGTTACAGGAGCGTGAGAGTGTTGTTGCAAAGGCCGACAGGTCAGCGGATCACCCGGAACTCGCGCTTAGACTCCGCTGAGTTTGAATGTACGCCGATCTTACCTTCTTGCCTTACCTACCTCCCTACCTTTTACCTATATATTACTCTCTACGCTTGCACAACGGAGATGCCCGAAGTTTTTGATCCTCGAACGAACCGTTTAATATTCTTGTCAAACGGCCGTATACTCTTATATTCCGGCCAAGTTTCGACTTGATAATACAATTACCGAGAGAAACCACGAAACTTCCCTGTTAGAAATTACGATACTCCTTGTTACTTCTTGTTAGAGATTACGCTTATTATTGTGATTGTGAATACTTGCAGGAATGGATATTGTAGCTATACAGCGGATTTTTATGCGTCTTTGGCGGAAATGAACGATCAAAAATGTGTGGAACGTATATGATACAACAATTCGCCAAGTGACACCGGTAAACAAACGTTTGCTAAAATTTTTATTCCTAGATCGTTGATTTCTCGATTTGAGAAACAATCGATTGAAATTGATAGCAATGGAATTATGTTGTTTTGATTTAAAAAATTATTGAATAATTCACATTTGGATAATATCAGTGAAATAAAAGATAATTCTTTTAGTTTACCGTTTTTAACAATACAGATAGAAACTGTCTCAAAAGTAATGCAAAAGTGGTACAACTGAGAAATTATGGAGACGCAGGGGGTGAATAATAATGAATAATTGTTTAGATAATATGGAACCGGTGTTGCAAAATTGACTATATATAAATCATACTGAACGATATAACGAACGATTTATGAAGTGTAATTACAATTTAACAGCCTGAGTCATTAATAATTCATCGTTTTGAAGATAATTTCGTCACAGACATTAATTTAAATATGAAATTATGAATAATTTAAAACATTACGTTCTATATTCGCGAAGAACATTTAAAAACACTGTTTTCGCATAATTCGCATAATTTCTAAATTTTCAAAAACAACTGCGCTACCCGACAATACACTTTCGGTCATTACAATTATCTAGCTTGATACCACCTTGAAATAGCTAATACAGTTACTGATATTTTGATAGTGGTTTTTGCGGTGACGTACAGGTCTACTGGAAGACGGAGAATGTAAAAATTAAAACGACAAGCGTCTCGCCATGAAACAAAGGCATAGCGTTCACTGTACAGCAAGTATACGCAAAAGCATTCGTAATTTTTTTATCTTCTCGTTCAACAACTCTCAAATATTTATCACAACCTTACTTGTTTCACGCATAACAAAATTCCTTGTGATATCAGAGAGAAATAAAAAAAAAAATGTATTTCAAATATTATGCATAAAATAATGATTACTGTGACATTTAGATGATTTTTCTCTGTCGATACGACCATAAATTTGATCTAACTTAAATTATTTAATTATTAAAACAGAAGAAACAATATCCCCTTACACAGATGATACACTATAATCTATGATTCATAATCATCGTACGATTTATAATGATTTATGAAAGAGTCAATGGTGCTATTCATAAAATCGTAAAATGTCAAAGATACATATGTATTAGATATAAATACTTTGACGAAGTTTTCTATGATACACTGTTATGAAGTAGAGATTAAATCACTGAAGATCGAAAATACAGCATTCATTGCTCCTTTATGAATCATTTAAATTAGACAAAGAAGGATGCAACGATATAAAGACCTTTTTCACAAAACTTAAGACTTTTGCATTTAATCCCTATGCCAATGTTATTTTAGTATAATACATATTTATTATTACCTCATAATTTTTAACAATATTGAAGCATAGAATTTTTATATTTTTAAACAGTGAAAACCAATGAAATAACTTTATGCGATAATCAGACATGTGAATCATGCGCTTCTTCTCTGATTCACATAACGTGTATTCAACAAATTATTAAACTAAACAAACCAGCTACTCTGTAAGGTAGGTAATTCTTTCTATTTCTAATGGTACTTTGGAACTTTCTCACATCGATGAAAGATCTTATCAAAGTGATCGTGTTAAAATAAGAGATCAACTTTATTTATTTTCGCGGCATGGAGTTTTCCGGAAGCAAATATGGCGGTTGCTGAGTGAGCGTTTAAAAAGAATCATCTAAATATCACGAAAAACATAATGATCTACGTAATGGTTATGGTGTTTTACATATTGACCAAGCGCCAGGATAAACTCGACGAAAATAAACACAACATGCAAGTACCATGAAGATAGATATACATGTTAACGCATATCTAAAAATTTTTGCGAATTTCAAAATTTCGAAGCTCTTCAATTTAAAGATTTAATTAGATTTGATGCTCACCTTGTTGAAAGTAATTGGCTTTTCGAAGAAATACGCAGACCAAGGCCATAAGCTGTAGCTGGGAAAGTCTCTGACGAGTCGAGGGCGGTAATGGCAGTAAATCACGTAAGTTGGCGATTTCGGCATTTATCAGGTCCCTTCGAAGTTTGCTGGCACCTTTCGTTGATTTGCTCGCATCTATCCTTCAAGCACACACGGATGTTACTGACACGCTATGCGTATTGTACTTTCGTCGGACGGCTGATTCTACTTGTCGCGCGTTTAATACACATTTCTACTAGTTTTAAACGACTCCTTACGAACAACGAGAGATACATGTAAAAATCATAAAAAAAAAAAAAAAAAAAAAAAAAATGGAAACTCGCATCAATTGCTATGAACGTGCATTAAATTTTAAAAAGATGTTTGAAGTTATCGTTGACAAAAGTAAACCGTTATTAATCGAATATAAGACAACGCGACACGAGGAAAAAGATGACGAGTTCCTGCAAATTAGTCGAATATGATCCACGGTGCGGCGGACACCGTTATCGAAGGCGTTTGACGAAAGGGGGTAGAAATGAGAATCGACGGTCAACGCTTGAGAGATAAGCGGACGCGTTAAACATATTTTTTTTTTTCATTTGACACGTGATCGAGCATTACTTACCGATTGAACATATTTCGGTGACCAGGAGGACATTAGTAGCGGATCACTTGTAGACGACGAACGAGACATCCGGGTCGGCAGGTTCTCGCAAAACTGCAGCTACGATCTAACATCCGGGTCATAACGCGCTACTACACTGAACACGTGGATACTGGCAGAGGCTGGTTCTCCTGCCTTCTCACCTCCGCAGCCCCCCTTTTTCTCCATTGCCGCCACCACCATCGCCACCCACCTTTACCTCCCTTTCCGTCCACCAAGAATATAAAGCCATCCTCTTCCAACACGCGCAAGGTATGATAATCTCTTCCCTGTTTCGCTGTTTATATTCCCTGGTCGCTCCCACTCGTCGATTCATCTCGCTCGTTTATTTCCTTTCTCCAGTTTTTCGCTCGCTCGCACCTTCACCCCATGCTGCTACTACGGTCACGATCGAGCAGTCGTGTCCCTCTACCACCGCCATCATCGCCATCCTCGCCACCACCGTCGGCTACTGGTTGCCTGGTTTCCTGTACATGCGGTTTTGCCCGCAATCATTTGCGCAAAGTCCCGCCTCGAGAACTTTTCGGTACTTGGCTGAAAGCGCGCGCCAGGGGTAAACAATCAGAGTAGTCGGCTAAGGCTGAAATTTCTCCAAGTGGTATCAACCTTTCGGACAAGGTAAATGTTTGTACGACTCGTAGCTCGTTTTCAGAGTGTTTTTTTTGTTTTTTTTTTTTTTTTTTTTTTTCTTGTAGTTTGCAATTTGCTCTTTTGGTCAGAACGAGATACAAGGCAAAGCGTTAAGTATTGTTAAATTTATATATATATATAAAAAGGAGAAAACGATGAAATCATCTTGCATTTCCTCTTTTCTTAGATATAGTTATTTCTTTATTACATATTCCTTAATGTCAAATATCTTATATTTCATCTTGTACGTTTAAAATATTGTTTTACAAGATTATTGGCATCAGAGGCAGCTTCGTGTCAACCATTAATGATTGCACTGTGATAGACTATCGATCGAACGAATTTTCTCTCTCTTTTTTAATACTTAATTTATACCGGAGCTATATTTATTTTAATAATATTGGATAATTTTATTATCACTTATTTCCTCGTATTTCTTGACACCGTTTTTTTTTTTTTTTTTTTCTTTCTTTGCGGCAGATTAATTTACTTCGTGTAAATCGAAGTAATACATTCTACTCTTATTTCACAAGCACATTCCTTGCAAGAAATTACATTGCTCGAAATAATTCGAATAACACTGTTGACATCGGTAATGATTAAGCGTACATATTTAGTTTTTATTTTATGATTTAGAAAGGTAGTCCCTTAATTATTTTGAGCAGTACAGATAGTTGTTGATCTTTATATTAATTGGTTCATTCGACAGTCAAAAATCATACTTAAGCTTAAAGCTACAGTCAGAACGGAATATTACGGCTCGCGAAATTTCTGAATCAAATATGATTTGTTATATATGTGAGACTCTTTTCATTCACTTTCCAAATTATTAACGGTTTAAATTATCACCTTTTCCTCTAAACTATAATTATAACTTCTAATTTATAAACATATGAAATCAATACCGTCCATCAACATAATTTTATTATCTTGTTTACGTCAGTAAAATAAAATATTTTGTTCCTTTAGAATAGATAAAATTCTGAACTCACTAATGAATCATATGCACACAAATGATCGTATGATACACGTTAAGAATCATATCCTTTTTGTCTCAGAAATTTCTCGTTTTAAATTATCTAAAGGTAATTAAGAGAATCTAAGGAAGCACCCTGTACATTTTCATTCTTCGAATAATTAAATTATAAATAAAGTAATAAAGAAATCCTTATACATAAAGAGATAAATTTACGTGCGAGTGAAACTTACTGATAAAGTTGCGACAGATTATAATAAAATTATTATTTTTCATGTAATTGTCAACTGTTTGTAAAAATATTGTATGAAAAACGTTTTACTATTATGTATGAAGTAGTTGCTTATAATTTTATAGTGGCTATAATCGAATTACATCATTTAATTCTCTTCTATTCGACCTGTATTCTAAACTTTTCGTTTCCTTGTTTCTTTACCAGTTTTTCTCTCCTTATTCGCAATAATCTGAGATTTAAATGCGAAACAATTTTTATCAACCTTTGGTCGATTTTCCATATGAAATATTTCCGCTAATACTAAACATTCGATGAAATCGAACTCATTAATGCATAGCATAATTTCAATGTTGCTTAAATTGTTAATATCATTACGACAGAATATATAGCACGGTTTTCGAACTTTATCTATAATATATTATTTTTTTATATTTGCTAAAAATTAATATACATCTCAAAATATAACTGCAGGTCCAATAATTATTGCAAATTGTATGTTTTGGTAATATGAGAGTCAATTATATGTCGATTATAGAAATTATATGTCGATTATATGTCAATATAGAAAAAATAACTTTTTTTAATTTAACAAATAATAAATTAAATAATTATAAAAATAAAATATCTTTTAATCTGAAAATTTCTGCGGGCCTTCATAAAATTCTTCAATTCTAAAAATATTGAAACAAAAGGTAGTTGTTGGACCACAATGTGTTATGATAATGAAGTTGTATTAATATTTGACTACATATATTTCAGATAAAATTCTTCGACGTTACAGTTTATTAACCATGCCTAGGTCGCAGTAAATGAACTTACGAATTACGTATTGACGGGCTATAAATCAGTATTTTTCATAATGCATGCATATATAGAATGAGGCACTTAATACGCGCAATATGGTAAATGTGATACTTTCTGATACAAAATATTTGTTTCCATAAAAGTTGTAAGCTTCAACGTTGTGACGAATAAATTTCTTTTTCAAATTAAATACATGTAAGATGATTCTTTGAACATTGATTTAAATATTAATTTGTTACTCTGTTCGAATTTCTTTAATTTCAAATGATTTCCATTTATTTATAAATGCAAAATATATTTCAATTTTAATCTTTCATTCTTCTTATTAATAAAAACGATGAAAATAAATAAAAAAAATCATTTAAGAGCCAAATATACAAATATGGAACAGAATAACAGGAAAGTAAATTTACGTTTGATTTACAGCGGAATTGAACGCGCGTGTTGAGAATACAAATATTTCTAGCATATTGTATATTGTATCTATTTTATTGTAATTTACATTCACGTGTGACTATTCGTTGAATTTTACTAAATCAATTATAGCTTGGAACACGTAACAACTGTGAATAGCATTCTTAAAGAATTTATCGTAATTTTATTCTAGTTCAAGATATTATGCTAAAGACAACTGAACAAGTGCAGATTAATTATGAGGAAAGGAATTGAATAAATAAAACGCGTTAAGTGACTCACGCTGTACATGTACAAGACATTTAAAACAGTTTGTTACGAAAAATATATGTTGTGTGTTTTATTTTTTTATTCTTTATATTTTATTCTTTACGCTTTATATTCTACTCTTTAATATTAAACAAACTTCAAACATTTCATTATAGACGACGTATCATCAAAATCATATTTTAAGAACGTAAAGAAAATATTATTTATATACTAGAATCATATTTTTTAATAGATAATATATGAATTCTATTTGTATTGCTTTATTCGAGTGCTTGTACAAAATTTAAAATGTTTGAAATAATACGCTTTAACATTTTCAAATTATATGTAACGAAATAAATAGTAAAATATATAATTTGATGCAGCCGAAGTGATTGTTCTTTTTCTTTCTTTTATTATATTAAATCCAACAAAAAAGTATATTAATAATAATAAAAGAAATGATAACATTTTAGTCATCATTATCGCTTCAGTACGATTTTTGTATTTCAGTATCTTTTTTAAGTTTCTCTGAACTAAATATTTGAAAAATACTTCGCATATTAAAATTACGTAAAACACTTTGCACAAATAACTTTTATCAAATTATATAATTATTTATATGAATGAATAATCATCGAAAAAGTTGATGAAACATTATAGAATTTCTGAAAGAAACGTATTACTTCTAATTTCTTTATTTTTTAATATTTGCATTGAACATGTGCAGCTAGCAATTAATTAGAAATTACTTGTGTCTCTGTTATTTGCATTTCATATTTATCCATTGCCACACTTGTGCAACTGTATATTCAAAGAGATTGAAAATTATATAGTAATTAAAAATTTATAAACTGCTTTCTTTCTCCATTTCATGTGATCAAATTAAATCTCTAATGATTGAATACAATTGTACATACATATGTATAAGCTTTATATACAAATATTTGTGTTCTAAAATAAAGTTCGAAATTGAAATCAATTTTCCCGAATTAATTGAAACCTTTTAAATAACCTTAAAAGTATAATCGTTCATTTACATTGTTTCTTCTGTGACTGTGTATATAATCTATTACACAGAAATCAAACAAAAAAGCAAATGAAATGCAATTGAAACATGCCATTTTGTTAGTTATAGACACTAACGAAAATTAAGAAATGACAAAGCCAATATAAGAATATTATTATTTATGATTCAGCTAATTCTCTACTGTCCTCGTCCCACTCTGTAAAACTAGTTTTAATTTGCTTGTTATTCTTTTCCACTTCTTGCTCTCCTTCAACATGCTCTTCCTCGATAATCATAACTGATTCCTGCGACTCGCCCACACTGTTACTTTGTTCGCTGCATTGCTCATCATATTCCACTATTTCTGTCTGCTCTTCCACATATTGTATAACTTCTTCTACCTGATCAGAACTGCATTCCTCCAATATTTCCGATTGTTCGACTTGCATATCTTCCTCCATCACTTTCTCTTCAACCTCTTCAACCACTTCCTCTACTATCTCCTCAGTCTCTTCTGTAAGTTCTTCCGACTGATAACTGTCGTATGTTTGTCTTTCCACTTCTTCATTTCCATGAATATAAACGATCATTCCATCCTCTGTACCTTGCATTACGATTTGCTCGTTATCTGTAATATTTAGTTGTTGTGGCTGTTGTGGCTGTTGCTCGTTCTCCTGCTGCTGGTAGTTATCGTTATCAATTAACATTATCATATGCTGTCCATCTAACTCGTGTGTGTTGTAAGTCATTTCGTGCGAGATATTATTTAACTGCATCTCCGGTATGTATTCCGATACATTCGACGTTCCATCCTGAGATTCCGCAGGAACGCTATCTCCAACACTTAAAGAAGTCGCTATACCACTAGCCACGTGACTCAAGGCTTCTGCTTCCGAGGAAGGCTCTAAAGGAATCGGTGGCACAGATGCTGATGCTGCCTCCGGATCGCGCAAACCTTTGTGCGCGCAATCGAGATGAACTTGCAAATTTGTTGCTCGTACAAAAAATTTACCGCAATGATTACAACGATGACCCTTTTCTTTGCCATCGGTTAAATTTCCATGACCTGAATTAATTTCATGGGTTGTTAATTCATTAACGTCTTTGAACGTTTGTGAACATTGCATACACTGAATTTCTTCAGCCGTTGACGAATGTTGACGCGGCGTTGGTCGATGATTATGATTAATCTGATGCCTCACCAAAAGCGTCTCTGACAATGCCACATAAGAACAGGCCTGACATTTTGGGAAACACATGCTTTTCGGAGGAGGCACATTGTGTTTTGTATAAAGATGATACATCAAAATATTTCGTTTGGTTGCCTTATAACCACAATGCTCACAAACTCGCGGATCGAATTTTTCTTCGTGCACATCTTGCATGTGTCTTCTGTACATGTAGTAGTTTGTGTACTCCTCTTCTAAATCACATTTGTTACATTTCCATGGCCCGGTCTCGCCATCCACGCTACCATTACTCTTTGTCTCGGTTTCTTCGCTGCTGTTACTTGACATCAGGTGGTCAGATTTCAAAACTACGTAAGAGACTTTCGTTTTGCTCGTTGAATTGCTATCCGAAGATTTTGCTTCTTTCTGCATGATTTTCAAACGTATATTCTTGCTATTTTTCACCAAATGTGGGTATTTCTTCAACACTTCTCGAATAATTTTCGCGTGATTGTTGATCGAATCCTCCGAGTTCGTTCGGTAAGATGATTTCCCTTTTTCCATATTTTCTTTCTCTTCGAGATCAAATCGCACTCTCTTAGCTGACGGAGACTGCGTATCTTGATTCCTTTGGAAACATCTGGTCACAGACCAATCATCGTCGGAGTTCATTTCTTTCAGACTCTTCTCGTTCGGATGACCTTCGTCTTCCTCATCTTCGGTTGTATCATTTTTACTATCTCTATCTGGAGAGCATTTGCCGCTAGGCGAACTATCTCTTTTACAGTTGTCTGGCGCTTGAACGATAGGTTTTGTATTGTACGTAATATCGTCGAAAGACGAAAACACCCCAAGAGCAAACTCCTCGGCCTCAGGGAGATCAAACCGCGAAGGTCCAGGAGTTACCTCTGTAGGCCTATTTGTCGACGGCATCCCATGGAATGTTCGCATTTCATAATTAAGTGACGGCATACTTTGTGATGAATCTAATTTTCTTTTCCAAATGGGAAGCCTGAAATAAGATCGAAAGTACACATAAGATCGAAAAGTCATGTAACTAAATTGTCTTTAATTTATATGAAATATACTTACTTTTTACCTGGTAATGGCTGATTTGATTGACTTGAAGGTGAAATGGAAGTAGTTGTTGGTTTTGTGTTAGATGTTGAAGGTTTAGAAACTGCTACTACTGGTCGGGTGTTACATTTCACTGTATGTTCATTTTGCAGAGAAGCAGTATTAAATTGTGCATCAAGTAATTTAGTTAAAACAGTCATGTTCATTTTCTGTGCAGTACGATACAAAGCATGTTGCTCAGAAGTCCAATACTCTAACTGACCAGTGTACATAAAGCTATAAAAATATTATAATGTATATGAACATTATACATGTAATAATTTTCATGTACCAGATAGACTGTGTAGTAATAAAATCTACCTTATAATTGACTTCACGCATTCATATGGCATATCTGATGGCATAATTATTATGCCATCAAAATTTTCATCTTTTTCTTTTTGCTCACGCTCTAGTTGCATAAAATAATCTGTACATGTTGTTACAACTAAACGATGAGCCTAGAATCAAAAATTTTGTTACACTAAATAATAAATAAATATTTAATTAATATAATTTACAATATACATGTATAAAATTAATACCTGAACAGTGATATCACTGGTGGGAAATTTGATTGTAAGATCAAGTAATTCTTCTTCAAAATAAAGTTGTTGAAGTCTTTGAAGAAAGAAAGTTCCCCAGTTATCTACCTTCACTTGCTTTAATCCCCGTGAAGGAACTTGTTTTTCTTGATTTGCTATTTCCATTGTATACCTGTTTATTATTAATTAAAAGATCTTTTGTTAATATTTTTTGTAAAAAAATAATTAAAATACTAAAAATTTTCAATATTTTTTAATATTATCTTCCAACAAAATAATGATAGAGTTAATAGTAAAAATTAGGTATTAAAAGAAATATATACAGTATAATTTCAAAAGAAATAATTTTATTACCAAAATATGTTACACTTATAAGAAAATTAGACTTTCATATTAATCAATTAGACATTAACAAATTATATTAAGTTTTCTTACCTGGTACTACTAGTTTAACTGTTTATTATATCTATTTATACTGATAACCCAAGTGCACCAAATCCTGTAAAAACAAAAAAATAAAGAATATTACAACCTTGATCTTTGAAATTAGATTATAAGATATTGAACTATGCTTCTATTCTGTGATGAAAGAGGAATTTCAAATTTCTTCAACTGCATTCCTCATAAATATCAGACGTTAATTGCTAATTACAATATTGAGCAGTATCATGAGAAAAAGAATTATTTACACTACACATGCTATTTCATAGGCTACAAATATTACTTAACATTCCTGAGAATAATTTCTTCGTACTTGTGATTCAAATGCCATACAATCCATGTCACAAAAAAGTGAAATTATGCCTCAATTAAGTACCTAGTAGCGACTTAACCTGATTGGTTTCTAAAAATCAAAAGTTTCATATCTAATATTATAATAATAACGCATCAACGGGATCCATTGACATCGGAATATGGTTCTGTGACTTACAGAAGTGTACTAGCGTGAAAATGCTTTTAACACATAACATATATCACTGTATACAAATTGTTGGTATCGCTTTGGTATTCAATTAGACTAAAATATTGTAAAAGGAAGAATGCCATGCAAATAAAACAAACTGAAAGAGACTTTCGACGAAACTATCAGCGTATACTTTGTGGAACGCTGAAAAACGGAAGTTTAATAATGATGCACATCTTCCTTTTACGATTATAGTCAGGCATATTAATGGTTATTTCGAATATATACAAATTCAAAATACTCTGTGGATGTATTGCACGTACCTATTTAACAATATTTCAATATTCCACTCAGCTCCATCTCTTATAAATTTCCTTAGTACACAAGTAATATTGAACATTCCATTGTGTATCACGACTCACAGATGGAGTTATACGCATCGACCACGGGAACAGGATATAGAGATACATTCAACTACGAAATTATAAATCGCTACTATAAACTATAATAGTTCATATTTTACAATATTATAATAAAAGAGAAATGTGTTTCCTTACACATATGATTCCATACGATGAAGGTAGTAAACGATCTATATGGAAAAAGTATGATTAATTTCATATATTTAGATCGAATTTAAAGAACGAACTACGAATATTGATAATACGAACCTACGGTGAAAAGGTAGACATTAGTAATTTTAAATATTTTAAATGATCAATTGAATTTGTTGATAAAAAGTTTTTATATATGCCCAACAAAATATTAAAGATTTATTGCGCCTTTTGATCCAATAAAAATTGTTATACGAATAGAACAACCTGTTCTTCGAATCCCCTCGATGTAATTAAGTTTTCCTAAAACCATTGAAACTTCATCCATGGTTAATGTTTTGAAAACAAATTCTAGGGAATTTACGTAATGTTGAAACTGAAACTATATTCTAATGCATGCACCATTTTTTAATAAAATAAATTATACAAGAAACGAGAACAGATGTAATGTTAACTTTTTGTAACTGCTCACGATATCATGAGTGGAATGTATGAAACATCAATTGGTATCGATAAACATCGATGATTAAACATACAAGGACTCCGATAGAAAATATAAAGTGATCTTTTGCACAAGAGATGACCGCACATATGCATTTTAAAAGCTGTCATTGGATGCTACCATTTGTTTCTTATTGTTTTTATAAAAATGGTTTTACCCCTTTTCAGAATTTTACAATTTAAGAAGAATGGGGAACAGAATATTTAAATTTAATGAAACTTGTTTTTGAAAAGGAAGAGAGGCAGGAATTTAAATAAACTTTTGTAAGTAAGCATGATGTAGCAATACCATGTGCAATATCATTCATTTTGTAAAATTAATTTTTCTACGTTTTAAGGATATAATTTATAACAAAAGAAATACTTTTATTCAATAGGTTTTGTAGAATGATGAGGTTGAATTTTAAAACAGTATTACTTATAATAGTAGTAGCAGTGTTAAGTTCAATATTGACATCATGGAATAATTGTGGCAGCCCATCATTTTTTAAAGGCGCTGATTGGAAATCGAAATTTCAGCATAGAGTAAGTAAATATCACAGTTTAAACATACATAGATTTAGTAAGTATTAAAGTGAATAAAAAATTCATACAGTGACAATATTTATTATATATTGCTATTTTCTCTTTTTGTTTATAAAAAAGGACCGAGTAAACTTAGAAACTGGATATCAAGAGATAGATTGTCATATAAATGGCGATTATTCCATTGGATGCCGTAAAGAAGGAGATGAAGTTTACATACCATTTTCATTTATTCATAAATATTTTGAGGTAAGTAATAAAAGTACATTAGCTATTTAATTGCAGTTAAATACTAATATGTTTAAAATACGTCAGATTTATGGAAAGTTAGCTACCTATGATGGACTAGAAAGATTTGAATGGTTGCACAGTTATTCAAAAATTGTTAATCCTAAAGGGAAATATGATCCCCGAGGAGTGTTTATGACCTTTGAGAATTATAATGTTGAAGTTCGAGAACGTGTTAAATGCATTAGTGGAAATGATGGAGTACCAATATCCACTCAATGGGAGAGTCAAGGATATTACTATCCTACACAAATTGCTCAATTTGGACTATCACATTACAGTAAAAATTTGACAGAACCAGAGCCTCACAGAAAGATAATCGAGGACTCTGATAAAGTTAAAAGAGAATGGATTATACCTCAAGGATCTATCGCGTCTAGAGTATTTGATAAACATGTTAACAGTCATGTAATGAAATTTGCAACACCAGAAACCAGTACTTCTGGTATTACTTTGAAGTTAGACCATGTACTAGATTTTGTACTGAAATGGGATTTTAATATTAAAGATAATGGAAGCATTATGATCACATTGCAATCTAGAGAGAGAAAGGAAATATATTACCTTCATTATGTTACTACTAACATAGTACTACATACATATAACAATCACGTTTATTACGGAATTGGTCAAATTAATCATCAGTGGAAAAGATTTACTAGAGATTTAGTTATAGATTTACAAAAAGGTTTATATTTAAATGATAAGAACAAGAAGAAAATGTCCCGTTCAAAATTAAAAGTAATATATAAATATAAAAATTACCGTAAAATAATTAAAAAATTAGTAACGAAGATGAATTATTTTACAGATTGTGAAAATTACATTGTACGGATCGGGAATGATCGACAATGTGACATTATCTACAAGTGAACACATGGAGCAATTTTATGATGCAGCTAGATGGTTTGTTAGCAATCAGAACATTAGTTCTGGTGGATGGGCAAACCCTGTTAGAAGAAAAGTAGCATCAGGAATGGCTACTCTCGAGCCTGGATGGTATTTTAGTTTGATAAATTGTTGAATTTTTACAAATATCATCGCGCAATAGTTTTTTTAAATGTATACTTTTTTTACATAAACATAGGTATTCTAGTATGGGTCAAGGACATGCAATTTCTGTGTTAGCACGAGCGTATTATCATTCTGGTGAAGAAAAATATTTGCAAGCTGCTATTAGAGGTTTGCAACCTTTTAAGCTATCCTCTAGTAAAGGTGGAGTAGCTGCGATATTTTTAAATAAATACGTGTGGTACGAAGAATACCCAACAACACCTTCTTCATTTATACTTAATGGATTTATCTATTCTTTAATTGGTTTGTACGATCTGAAAAGTATAGCAACAGGTAAAGATGCTGAAGAGGCATCCCACCTTTTTAACCAGGGTATGACATCGCTGAAGAACATGTTAACGCTATACGATACAGGTTCTGGTACTACATATGATTTACGTCATTTTACATTAAAAACTGCTCCAAATTTAGCTAGGTGGGATTATCATTCAACTCATGTTAATCAGCTTCTTCTTCTAAATTCAATTGATAACGATCCGATTTTTACTACTACAGCAGAACGATGGATAGGTTATATGAATGGTAAGAGAGCTGCACATAATTAACTTCCTTTCTTTTAAACTGACTGATCTTACATTTGTATTTTACATTTTAACTTATTAATATTTAATATTTCATTTTTTCCGCTCTCATTTTGTATAATATTTTTTGTAAATAATTTTGGATAGTCACAGAATAAAGTGGACCAAACTGTACTTATCTTTTTGTGTAATTATTATACGAAAACAGTTACAATCAAATTTGTAATATTTGTTTGTAAATTAGAATACGGCAATATGATACGTATGTACTTGGTTATCCCATCATAGTATCATAGTAAAATAGAAAATTTAGTATTCTATAATTAAAATTGTATTTAAAGGCAAACGTATTATTACATTTGAAAGTAGTTTATTTAATTTAATTATAAAGAGTAAGATTTTCATTTCGAATAATTTTAAAAATTTAGATTAATATTTATGTACTTTTATGTAAATTTTGTACTTAAAGAATTAAATCTAATCTGTTTTATAAAATGTACATTTTTTTAAATTTAAATGTTATGTATTATGTTACAAAATTAAATTAAATACTTCTTTTGATTATTTACTTTCATAAAATACATGTATTAAGATAAATTTAATATCTTTAATACGCGTTATTTAGATAAAATAAGAAATTGTTTCAAATAAAAATGTAATAAATGTTAACATTTTTGTATATACTATATTGCTTTTATATGAAGTTTTATTAGAATTTATAAATGTAACTTTAATAAATAAAATGTAAAATTATTTTATTCTTGATTACGTTTAATAAATTATTTACCATTTCGATACGTAATGAAGAATAAAACATTTCATATTTTGAATTTATACTTATGATTTATTTTACTATCTGTTACATTGGTACTACTGATAACTAAGTTCATGGTATATTATAGTTATGGTATAAACTACATTCTCACAAAAATTACAATAATTTTAATATGTATGCAAAAATTGGTATTATATGACGTATAAATAATTGTGATATTTTTGTAAGTATAATTTAAAAAATGTAAACTATTGCCATTAATCACCTTCATGACTTAATTTCCAATGTAATAGCTTTTTAAATATAACAAAAGAAATATCTTTGCATATAAGGATTAAATATTAGTATAAGATGAAATGTATTGTTGAATATAAATATTTTTACAAGTGAAAGGAATAAATAAAATAAACAAATTTATAGGATTTCACTTTATAATTTTTTTTTCATTCCTATATTTCAGATTAAGTTAAAGATAGGTTAAGGATAAATAATAATAGAGATTTAATAAATAAAAATGAGTGGTGGAGTGGTACCAAGTAAATCAACAGTTTATGTTTCAAATTTACCTTTTTCATTAACAAATAATGACATACATCAACTTTTACAGAATTATGGAAAAATTGTAAAGTAAGTTATGAAATTTATGTAGCTAATTTTTGAATTATTTATAATTTTATTAAATATGTGTTAAAAATACTTAGTTCCTTTTTTTATAAAATATAAAATATATTCCACTTATCCTGATATCTCTCTTAAAAATTGTAATTTACTAAGTGTTTAATCATTATTTCAATTGAATTTTATTAGATATTAAATTCTTTTTTGTGTTTTAATATTTGACAAAAAATTTTAATAAACCAAGAGAATGAGATTTTTTTCATATCATGATAGTATTTTTGTTTACTTGCCTATAGAGTGACAGTAATGAAAGACAAAATCACCAGAAAAAGTCGAGGTGTTGCATTTATATTATTTCTTACTCCAGAAGATGCTATTACCTGTGCTAAAAATTTAAATAATACAGAGGTAAATTGGAATTTGCTTCACATAATATTATTCTCTACATATCTTACTATAAATTATCTTTTAACAGATAGGTGGTCGTACTGTAAAGAGTTCCATAGCAGTAGATAATGGAAGGAGCACTGAATTTATACGTCGCAGAGACTATCCAGATAAATCCCAATGTTATGAATGTGGAGAAGAAGGACATTTATCATACAATTGTAGAAATAATACATTAGGACCAAGAAATCCACCACTAAAGAAGATTAGACTAAGAAAAAAGCAGAAAGCTAATACTCAGCAAACAAGTGATTTTAATAAAAATAGTGATGATGAATCAGCAGAAGATAATTGGGATGAAGAAGTAGAAACATTAAGTGCTGCTATTGCATTAGAGGTAATATACTTTTATGTGTTATCTATAATGAAATAAAAACTTAACATACTTACTGTTATTAATCTGATTTTAGCAAAGACAAAAAGAATTAGAAAATGATCAAAGATTAGGATATAAGGGATATGAAGAAAATAGATCAATTCAAAAATCCGGAAAAAGATATAAAAAGAATCAATACTTTAGTGATGAAGAAGATTTTAGTGAATAAGATAATGTAATAAAATAATGAAAAGAAATTAAATTTATAAAGTATTATTTACATATATTATTTATAGATTTGTAAATTGACAACTCATTTATTTATGTATAAATTTATGTACAAATTAATAAATTTATCAGTAACTTTAGCTTTTAATTATTATTAGACATAACAAATGTAATTTATTTAAAATAATCATGTGTATATGTGCGTGCGTGCGTGTGTGTATGTATATCTTGATATACATCATGTTTACAATATGACAGATCTTTGTAAAACTTAATCTTCCAAGTGCTGTTTGGAGATTTTAATGTTACTATTTTCTTTGGCTTTTTCATTTTTAAATTGATGCATTTAGAACAGCAAAGATTAAATATTATTGAATTGTGACTATATTTTGATATTATACTTTGATAAAGTAAAATGCAGCGACAAATAATTTCAAAATATAACCTCAAAGTATGAAACATTCAAGTTAATTACGAATATTATGAATACTATGTCAGGTTTAGATTTATTAAGTACGTATGCTTCTGATTCCGAAGATGATGAAGTTAATGATAACGAAAAATCTAAGAAAAATTCTGAACGGTATTTATCTTGTTTTTACGATTACTCATAATTTTTCATAAATATTCAAGTATTTTGCGATTTTATTAATTGTTAGTATTACTTATAATTTGAGTAACTGTAATTTATTTATATAATTGTACATATTGAAATACTACCAATAAATTTACTTTTTATCTAAAGATTTAATGATTTGTACGAAAATATCATATGTACATTTTGCCATTTATATTTAGACTTTGAGTTTAAATTCAACATAAATGAATAAAACAGATTTTAGTAAATTAAATATTAATATTGAAAAAGAAAACGTGGAAAATAATTTTTATTATTTAGATTACCTTTACCTGGAAGCATTGTAACATGGAAAGGTGTTCCTCATCATGAAGAAGTATATGATGATTCATCACAACATGAGGGGAGAATGAGGAGTTTTAAACATGAACGTGGTAACTGGGCTACTTTAATTTATATTGATTGTTAGTATCTAAAAGAATAAATACAAAGTATTGTTTGAATTACAAGAATAAAATCATTGCAATCACCTTAAATTTCAGATGAACCCAGCGAGGATATGCTCTCATGGATGTTTTCAATTTTGGGAGAAGTGCCAATTAAATGTAATATATTTTCTGAGCAGTTTCATATTAGTTTATCAAGAACTTTAATTTTAAAGTTTCATTGGATTGAATCCTTCGTAGAAGAAACCAAGAAGTTATGTGAGCAGACAGATCAATTTAGTTTGGAGCTTTCAAATGTAAAAGCATACACTAATGAGGAAAGAACTCGTACATTTCTTGGGATAGAATGTGTTGACTATAAAGGAGTTCTTGATCATTTTGTAAGAAATGTTAATAAGTTCCTTACTGAATATGATTTACCACCTTTCTATGATGTAAGTAATCAACAAGTTGTTTTTAATAAAAGTTTTATATTTATTATTGTACTACATAAGCAATTACAAATGATTTTTCATGTTTAGGATTCCTCCTATCATATAAGTTTTTTATGGTGTCTTGGGAATGAGCTATCAATTCTAGATGATCAAATACATACTTTGACTATTAAATTAAATCAATTTTTGGTTGAGCATACAGAAACAAGATATGTACATGTTACCAAAATACATCTTAAAATTGGGAACAAATTATATGTATTTAAATTAAGATAATAAATAATTCTTAATAAAAATTCAATATAAAATATATTTTTATTTATTTAAAAAAATCTGTAAAGTAAAAATCTTGTATTGTATACATGTTTAAACTTTCTCCACTATCTGTTAATAAAACTTACATTTAAAATAATAAAACCTTTCTATACCTTCGCCTTATCTTTTTCATTCTTCCTAAATTCTTCATCATTGATTCACAAGTTCTTCAAATTTAAAATTAAATTAAAATAATTCTCAATTTAATAGGAATGTAAAAGTAAATAAATACGATTATTCAATAACAATATATTTTGTTACCATTACACAAAGGCGAGTATCGTATATAAATGTGTGTAAAATATTCCGCGTATTCACGATCAACGTGATGTGTGGAAATTACGTTAACTCTCAGACTTCTAAATCGTATAAAAAAACACAATATTTCGGTAAACAAATTATTTACAATTCTTTTAATATCTTTTTTTTACAGGAATTTCATCTAATTATTCATCTTTACAAAAGAAAGCGTCATTTATTTTATATACAATATTATACACTCGTGTAACGAGTGTCGAATAGCTCATAAAATATATTAAGTACACAACAAGGAATGTATTAAAAAAGTCTTCGAATTGTGTGTGTTTAAAACATAATTTGTAATTATGTACTGCACCCGGATTCTTCATTTTAAATGATTGTTAGTAATAATATATATCGCGCGATTAGATATATTTGTCTTTTAAATATATAAATTCAACATGGGCGTCTTACAAACATACATTATATTTACCTGGCTGTTCTTTCCTTAATAATAAGGCTCATTTCTACCTAGATATTCTTTTCTTGCTATGAAATCCCATTTGATCCACTGGTTGTTTTCTCTGGTAAACACTTCATGATCGTTGGTTCTATTAACTTCCACACTTCAGCGAGCTGTGATGTATTTTAAACATTATTTATTTAGACGTTTGATCAAAAAAAAAAAACTACTTTGATAATTTTTATTTCAATATATTTACAATTATAACAGAAATATTTTTTGCTTCATTTATAGATTAATAAATTACACTTACCAAATTCTTTGAATTTCTTTCGTTTTTTCTTTTTTTTTTTTAATTTTTGATAGCATAAACATGATAGCAAAAATTATGTTGATATTTAAAACATGTTACGTATAATGAAGAAACTTTACCTCAGAATGGCCGCGAATTTGGACGTTGACAAGACTTTGCAGAACCGTGGCAAGTATTTCTAAATGGGCGTGAACGAGTTGCGTCTCCATGTGTAAACAGTGCAACGAAAAGCAATTTCGTAGCTCGACGTTTGCAATTACCGATTCCTGAGCGACCATCTTATTTTCCAGGTATTCAACTGTGTCACTCTGTAAATAAAAGCTCTGTAAATAAAAATATTTTACTTTCGATAATTCTTATTTTATATTCTGCCGTAAGATAAGTATTATAAAATATTTATACATACATAATTTTAATCATAATACCAATGAGCAAATTGCATATATTACATATATACTTTAGTTTCTCTAATGACAATTACTCACTTCTCACTTTATTATCGCTACTACTGTCAATTGTATCTCATTTTAAAGCTACAGATAATAATATGTTCACAAACACGTTGGAGTGCAACCGCGAATGGTATAATAATCAGCAGAAAAAAACGAGGGAACTTGTGGAAATATTGCACACATCAGCCTATCTTCAATTGGAACGAATTATGTAAGACGATACAAGCTTGAGATTATATATTATCACATTTTTCCTTCTGATATTAACATAAAAGACCTTGAGCAATTTCCGAATAATCACGTAATGAGAATGGCGCGTAAAGTAACGAGTCGAGTTAAGTGACTGAATAAATATACCTGTTTCTTTTTTTTACGAAGTTAAATCATCGTTTGCCATTCAACTGTCTGGAAGAATCTACTTACGTCAGTCCCGCGTATAACACCCTGCATTTGTCGCTTTTTTAAGGACAACATCGTGGACAATGCACGCTGATGATCGGCGCTGACACCGCGCTCGTGCCTCTCGCATAGGATTCTATGTGCTACCAGCACGTCCAATAAGAGATTTAGCCTTTCACATACCATCGTTTCTTCTCTGACTGCTTGCTGCAGCGCTCTCGTTGAAAGCAGATTAAATTCCCTGAAAATTATGAACGTACATGAGAGAATTCCTTTTGAAACAGAAGAAAAATGATGAAGTAATTAAAGGACCGATGATTTTCTGCGGTTGTAAATTTTTGACAGAATTTTTGCTGACTCTTTGCGAAAGTTGACTCGTGTCATTCTAACATTAACATATCAACATAATTGTATATTTAAACAGTGTTTTGTTCACGAACTGTTTCCAATTAAATTCCATGTTACAAACCATTTTGGAATTCAACACAAGTGAAACGATCTGCCTCTTAATGACTCTCGTCTTTTTAAAATAACTGACTCACAATTCACGTCACGACTCACTCACTTTGAAATTATATGGAAACCTTTCTTCATCTCTTGCCAAATGGTGGAACCACCGGTGGCCCAGGCGGTGGTGCCATGAGGCTCCGAGGCCAAATTGCTCAACTGTGTGCCCAGCTCCGCCATGTCCACCGCGTAACTGTGAGACCTTATTGCCAGACAATCAGCGATATTCTTCAGCCGAGAAATTCCAAGAAGTATCACGCGGATTTGATCGCGGCTGTTCGCGAATTCGGTCAACGTTTCCGGTGGCACCAGTTCCTTTGCCCTCGACGACAGTTCCGACGTCGCGAATTCGTCCGGCACTCGCCTGAATACCTCTCGAATTTTGTGCTGCGTCTCCTCGCCGGTGTAAGTGAAGAAGAATTGGACGATGTGGTCTTTGCTCACTACAGGATGTCGAGCAATCACGGTGAGGAATCTCAGTAGGGATCGTCTCCTTTCTTCCAGAAATTGCGAGTCCGCTGTGAACATGTTGTTATCACGGTCATTTCGAAATATTTTCAATATAGTAATTTAACAGTCGAAGATCATTCAATGAAATATATTTCTGATTTATCTCTGGTGTTATTTTCATCAGAAGAGTATCTTTATTTTATTAAATATTCGAGGAAAGGAGTTTTACCTCCAACGATTTTTTTCGGTGGTAACTTCGGTATCAGCCTGTAGGGAAATCTTGCTAAGAGAAGCTCGTGCAACGACACGAAGTCGTTGTAGCGTCTATAAACGATGGAGTTGAATCTCTGTAAATAAAAATGGCGTTCAGTAATAATTACGGACTACGTTAGAAATGGAACTAACTATAATTGGTAATTTAAGACTGCTGGCGTGGTTGAGCATTATTAGTTTCATTCAAACCGCGCTTGAGGCGAGAGGAATTGCCAAGTGGAAATCCAAAAAGAAGGCACCTACTTTGCTGGTCACTTGGTATTCCACGTGTTTCAAGAAAATCCCCTTTTTCTCAGGGACCAAGTTCACCTCTATTGTGTCCAGGTTGCATATATCTGAGTAAGTAAGGTTCAACTTCGCCGGATTGCTGCCTTTGTGCAACCTTTGCGCCAAAAGTGTCACCTCGGAGAGATCGCCCAGAACAGGAACAGGTAATTCTACCGAGAAGAAACGATAAAAGAAGAGGGAGACATTAAAAAAAAACAAAAGTGGAGCAAAACGAACCAGTCGTAACAAGGCTGTAATTTAAAAGATTCTGAAAAATCGGCAAGGATAACAATACTCAATAATACTACAGTATCTCTTTCTTTTTTCTTTTTTTTTTTTTTTTTTTTTGCAATTTTATCTATTCGATTTGAGATACAAACGATTTGTAACGACAAAATTGCTCGATAAAATCTATGATCGAAGGCACAAGCAACTTCTTTAAACATTATTGTTATACAATAACGTGAAAGATAATCATCGGCGTAGCAGCAACCTCGATACTGGAAATGATTTCCCTGACCTTCGATACTTTGTCGTAATGCTCATTCTTGATTGCTTTTTCTCTTCTTGATTGCGATTTCACTTCTTGCTCTTCACAAGGGTGGAACACAATCGTGAGAGAGAAAGAGCTTCGACTTGCGATGCTTTTGTTAGATTAGATTAGAGTCTGGAATGCTTAGACTTCGCAAAGGAATGAAGGGTTGAAAAAAAAAAAAAAAAAGAAACTACAGTTGACGTAGACAAAATTTATGAATTATGCAGCAAACTACGTGCACGACAACAACGTACGTCCTTAATTATGATTAATGATAATACAGTTGCGTCTATAATCCGAGTAGATTATGCAAATGAAATTTTCAAATGAATCCATGTATCATTCGGCGACTTATCACTCCACTGTTGTCAGATAATTAATCATCCATAATTATACTCCGAGTCTCTAATGGATCATCTCATTACGAAGAATATAAGAAAAATATCGACCATACAACTAGCTATTCATTCCTTCGAACGTAGATGCTTTTTTTATACGAGTTTATTCCAAGTTTAATTGTAATTTCGATTTTGTTTCACCGAGTAAAAAAAAAAAAAAAAAGAAAGAAAGAAAAAAGAAATTGCTGAAAGAACGATGCACTTCCGGTAAACCGTTTTCGACAGTGATGAACCAACATTTTCCCTTTCTCGCGATAAGAGGAACAACGACTGATTGTACTGGTCAGTGACACCGTTAAAAACCAGGCCCCCTGACATCAATGTCAATCACGTATGTATGTTTCTGCATTATCAGGAATTTCTGCGCGATAACGAGTCAATTCACAGCGATAGTTTCGACAGCACACACCCCGTTATCTGTCGAGTACGTATTTCGTGACACCCATTCTGACCATTTTCGAATGTTCTTTTCTCTTTTTTTTTTCTTTCAAATTCAAGGATGAATTGAAACAGGACGATTCAGAATCTTTCGAGATTAGGATGAAGCTCGTTCGTTCGATATTAATTTGCAGCGAACGAAATATTCTATACGAATGAGAATATGAAAATTTACCGTAGACGCGTTTTTATATTATATCTTAATTAACGTAAGGCGTTATTTGCGAATTGAAAAGAAGCAAGCAACGAACCTTGTGATTCGGAGTTCTCCAGGAGTTTGTCGCTCGGATGTTTCCCTTGCTGAGCAAACGCGACTAGTGCAAGGCCTTTGTATAATCCGCTCCTGGTTAGATAACCCGTCTTGCTGTCAACCAGTTCCCATATCTAATTGGAGGAAAAAGAAAAGAAGAAAAGTTTCACTTGAAAACATTTATTTGCAAAGAGACCCTTCTTTTCAGAAGGTTTTCGAAAATTAGAATGTAGACTTGCTATGTAGTATGATATTAATATCAATATCAATATATATATTTTATTATATTTATATATATTTTATATATATTGTATATTGATATTAATAGTATTACAATATTATTTTTTATTTTAAAAAATATTTTCTGAAAAGATGCAAAATATTTATTATTATATTATAAATACTACACACACACACACATATATATATTTATTATTATATTATTATTAATACACTTTTCTTAACCAGAAAATATTTGCCTCGGCAATTCCACGATCTCTGTTACTTCGTTTCGATGTAAAAATTTTAAAAAATATTTTCTGAAAAGATGCAAAATATTTATTATTATATTATAAATACACACACATATATATTTATTATATCATAAACATTTATTATTATATTATTATCAATATACTTTTCTTAATCAGAAAATATTTGCCTCGGGAATTTCACGATCGCTGTTACTTCGTTTCGATATAAAAATGAATGAATTATTCAAATATCCCTTTCACGTCTGTGCATCGCATTCTTTTTTTCTTTTTTTTTTTTCTTTTTTCTACATTCAAAGTAGATACGATAGACAGGAGTTTGAAGTTTGAAAGGCACGGCCAGCAGAAAATAACACGGTTGCGTGAAAGGCGCATGTAGGAAAATTGTGGAACAGGTTTGCGAGGAAAACCATGAGAAAGATGAAGGAAGAATATTAGCCTTGTTTCTGGCGGAGGCGACTTTCTCGACCGCCACGAGCTACGATAAAAGTTCAGGTTTGTACGAAATAATTGTCCTCCCTCTGTTTCTTATCGCAACGGCGATAAAGTCCGACCATATTTGAAAAAAAAAATACCACGAAATAACACGTACGTTGTGTTAACAGGTGAAAATTACAGTCTACAATTTACATTTCTGTATTGAGTAAACATTCATGCAAAATTTAAGGAAGCATCTGGTTATTAATGAGCAACAAGTCTCCGCCGAATTAAAATTATTTCAAGGACTTGGGGTCAATCCAAGTTATCGAATAGAAGATATATAAACCAAAATTAAGGATCAGTAATATAATCAATGGGATAGCAATAATTCAAATCAAAAACGATACGACCAAAAGATTAAACCAACTGCAACAAAACGCACGAACTAACAAATTAGAGATATTAATAAGATTCAAATCGAATTCTTAAATGATCCTATATATATTTCAAATCTCAACACCTACAGTTCACCGCTCGATATCAAATATAGACACCTACGCAAATGAAAATTGAAACTAACAAATTTCTTAGTTAACTTGATGATCCACGACAAGACGTACGTAAATTATATTTACGTATTGTTATTGAAATTAATAAATAAAAATTTTACCTACGAAAAAACATTACAGATTAAAATTTTATGTTTTAATAAATATTTTCAAATCAAAAGTAGTAGTATATTTACGAATAAATGAATCATAAAAAATTTAATTCTTAGATAATTAATTTTTAATGTTAATTTTAATATTAATGAAAGAGGATTTCATAGTAAATTAATTAAATTATTTTAATTATAAACGAAGCATAACCAGACAGATTATAAACCTTATATAAACCTTGCTTATAAATACTCCGTTCTAATTTATCGCTGCGTTTCGCTGTGCGTGTGCGTTACGTGCACGAGGGTTAATTAAAGGCAAGCGGCGCGATTTGCACGAAAGACAGGGGCCTGATTTAATCAGAAAACGGCCTAACGCGGCGTTAATCCGCGCGATACACTCGACTAAACGGCGCAACCTCGGTTAACACCGCGAACGAGTTCGAAGGATTAGGCCATAAATGAAAGTAACTGCATTCCGAGAATTTTTTTGTACCTTCCTTCGCCTCTCGTTCGACCTCTCGTCTCTTTCATTCCCACTGGCTCTCTGTCTTCCAGCTCTTCTGCCAGAGTTACACTACGGCAGATCGTCGTACGTTACGCGCATCTAGATTTCTATACCACGACGACGGGACCAGCTAATCCCTGGTGTCTCTTTGTAATCGAGCGTTTCTTCGTTGGAGAATGTTAGCGGTACACTGGTGCACACCGTGTAGCGAGAAGCGAGTCCAACATCAAGCGACAATGAGAACGAGTTACTGCGCGGGGTTGCATTCCTCTTCTTTGGAAAGTTTTTTCGAGAGACTCGCCGCGAAGAATTGTCAATTGATAAGAAAGAACTCGACCCGCAACGTTCCGAAGCAGTTTTTCGAGGGACAGGCTTTGTGATTTTAGAAACAGTAAATTTAGTTCGTTTCAAACTGGAGAATAGATGACAATGCGCGTACGAATGTTATTAATAATTATTCACGTGACGTGTGTATGATTTAGTAGAATTCGACGACCTCTCTGTCACAAAAGATTCAATATCGATTGAGAAAACAGTTCTGAAAGTGAGTATGCAAAGAAATTTTCTTTTTCGTATTTTTAAATTCCATTTGGTGTGTAACTATAAATTTTGTAGAATTCCGTACATCTGTATTCCCTTCGTTGTATGTTTGTTCCTTGTTTTCGAAATTTACAATTATTATTGCACGTTAAAAAGTCGATTTTTATACAAATCGAGAAGAGTACAAAGGCACTTTAACGGTGTATGTTTTTCTTCGAGAATATAAATGATTCTTTATTAAACGAGTTTTATAAAGCGGAATGTATTCAAATCACGATTTCATGGCGTACGACAGCAAGATGCGATTAAAACTCGTTCCTACAAGAATGACAACATATTCTTTGTCTTTGTCAGAACGCATAAATTTCAACAATCAGGAATTTCAATTGTAAATATAAATGACACATAACGATATAATAACTCGATGCGTTGTGCGACTTAATGTTTAAAAGATTTTAAATATTTTTTTATCATTTATATTATATTATGTATTCAATTTTTTATTTTTAATATATAACATATATTATATTTAATATAATTTTTAATATATTATATTATATTATTTATATAATTATAATATATATTATATTATATTATATTAAATTTATATATTACATTATATTACATATTAAATTTTTTATTTTTAATATACTATACTATACTATACTATACTATACTATACTATACTATACTATATTGTATTTATTGTATATATATATTTATTTTTAATATATTATATTATATTACACTATACTATACTATACTATACTATATTGTATTTATTGTATATATATTTATTTTTAATATATTATATTATATTATATTATACTATATTATATTATATTATATTATACTATATTATATTATATTATATTATTTTATATTATATTATATTATATTATATTATATGTCAAATTTTTTATTTTTAATACATACAATATATTAAAAATTTTTACCTAGAAACCTAAAAATCCGGGAAAGAACTTGATTCACGTTCACTTTCACACGCGTGTCTCAAACGACATTTATTATTATACGTTCCTTGAACAGATGGAGATTCTACAGGCCTCCAATCATTTTTGTTCCCGTGGAACTGATTTAACATTTGATTGACTTCCTTTGTCGGGGACAATGGGCAAGGATCGTGCGAATGGAACCGTGCCAAAAAACGGGAGAATGGAAAAAGGAGGAAAAGCGAGCGCGTGAAATCCGGACGAAATACGAATGTGGACAAGCTGGTTCTCACTGTTCGAAAGCGTTCGGCTCGTTGTTTCACGAGCATTATTTAAAGTTATAATCGTCGATAGAGCTCGCTGGCAGAGGAAACCGCACAGTGAATATAAGATCCTTGCTCGCGGTACGTGTGAACCTGGTCGCCTGAACAATCGTCTCGCGAAAGCTGAGAGTCTGCACGTCACGGCGACTCTCGTCTTTTCAATTTCAATAATCCCTCTCCCGCTCTCTTTCTCTCTTTCCCACCTTTTTCTACCTCCGTTGCGTCTGAATCGCGAGGAGTTCTCACCTGAAACACGGACCGCGAATACCACTGTTTTCTTTTTTTTTTTTTTTTTTTTCTTCTTCGATTAGGTGCCATCTCTGCCCGCGAGGAAGCGCAGCTCCGCACGAAAGCAGTCTTCGGTCTTTTGTTACGTGTTGATCGACTTCGATTGCACAATTTTTGACAGAATGTTGATCGTTGAATGGTTCTGCGTTTCATTGTGAGAATGTTCCATTTTGGAGAATGTGTTGTGCTGCGTTGTGTTGTTAAAATATATACGCGAAGCGAGTGTTTCTTGTGTCTTGAACAAAATCTCTGGCACTTTACTACAAGTATGATCGCACATCCTATGAAATTGCTCCTTTTTCTTCAAGTTTCTTCAAATGTGAAATATGTTAATGTGTTTTCGACGTGAAACGTCAGAAGATTGTGAAATGCCACAAGACAAAACTAGTCTGTACCAGCACTTTGATTCATCATTGTGTGTTCATTGCGTATATCTTATTTTCTACTATGTTTTCTATGATTAATTGGAACAGCGAATTATTTTTGAGTGTGTATATCAGAGAAACGAACGCAAACGGTATCTGTCAAGTTACTTAACATTTAAGAAAAACTCTATGTTCTCATACGAATTCTCTCGCTCTTGTAAACATTCTTCTTCCGTTCTCAATCAGAGTGCTTTTAAACACAATTCACGTTAAAATCTTCACTTGACGAACAGCAAAATTCACTGATCAAACAGCAAAATATTCAGGAAGCGGAATTTCCCGAGAAGGAAAGGAAGTAAACGAGAAACAAGCAGAATTCAAACAGAGAGTGCACAATAGAGTAACGAGGAAACACGAACCACGAACGTCGAAAAGAAACTTTCTAATCTGTTGATTTCACACCGCAGAAACGCGTAAATTAAGTTTTACGAACATTTTAAAGCAGTTGAATCGCGTATCGACAGAGTGTCGGCCGAAACGAAAAACGTGTAAAAGTAAAAGAGGGGAAATAAAATGTAAATTCAAAGA